TTGAGCTGAGGTCCATGGATTCCCCCTAAATTATATACAGAGTATAGCATGTGTTTGAAGATGTATGGATATCCAATTTCTACCCAGAGAAAAAATTTTAAATAAGCCCTACTCTGAAAGATGGACATCTACCTGTTCCCCAGTAAATACCTAGCAACTGGATTCTTCAGGCCCCCAGGGCTCCCATGTGCCTAGTAGTTTCCAAAAATTTTTAAAGCCTCCCCTTTTGTCTCTGCAACCTGCATACAGGGACCCATCAACCTGTAGTTTCTCTCCCACCCATATAATGTGCAAGGCAGTTAATCTTCCATCTCTCATATTCAAAAGTGATGTTCACACATTCTCAGAGGGAATGATCTTCTGACCAGCAGTTCTGCTGGATGGATCTCACAGAGCTGTGCACACTGCATCATTCTTTATGTCCCACCACATGCATTTAGATGTGACAGGTGGGAGTCAAGGCCTAGAACCTGGGTACACTAACTGAGCCTCAGAACATTAACCTTTTTAAAAAATATATTTCACTACAAATATATGTGTTTATATATTTACGAGAAGAAATCTAGTATGTAAATAAAATCACCTCTATTCTCATTCTCCCCCGAAAAAACCTGGCTCATAGTCTTCCCATTTACCATAGTCAACATTTTTAAGCACTTCCTCTGTGCCACATCAAACTGTGCTCTCAGCTCTACAGGTTCATGTTAAACTCTCAGGTTATATCAGGTATTCTCCATTGTTTCATAGACATATTTAAACTTATTTCTTAATTTTTAAGCCAGTGAGAGTCAGGAGCCAGTGGCTCATGCCTGCAATTCTAGCTACTTAGGAGGCAAAGATTAGGAGGATTACAGTTTGAAGACAGCTGTAGGCAAATAGTTCGCAAGACCCTATCTCAAAAAAAAAAAAAATTACAGCAAAGGGCTGATGGAGTGGCTCAAGTGGTAAGACCACCTGCCTAACAAGTTTGAGACCCTGAGCTCAAACACCAGTGCTACCAAAAAAGGAAAAATTAAGGCCGGTGAGATCATAATGTATTATAATCCTGCCTTTCTCACTCCATACTTTCAAACTTTCTTTCCATGTTATTAAATATTCATCAACATAGCCATTTATAATGGCTGAATAGTATTTTATTGCAGGCGAGTTCCATGCTTCTCAGACTGAGGTACATGTACCCCTGAGGGCAAAGCCACAGGATAAATGTCACACATCTTCCTGAACCATAAATTTGGCTCAGAGCTTTAAGAGGGAAAAAAATTTTTAATATCAAAATGAATGCAGGTATAGAGTACAGAAAACCCATGAATTTTAAAGCAAAGCAGTGAATTCCAAAATTGTGTGAGTTTGATGTTACTCCCCTGAGGTTGGCAGAAATATCCAGGAATAACAAATTCTAGTGCAAGCCCCTCTTTTATAGATAAGGAATTAGGCCTAAGGAAAAGAAGGAATGGCTACAGCATGTGCTTTGCAGAGCTGAGGCATAGAAGCCAGGTGACCCCGGGCCGGTATCCTTCCACACATCCATATTTGGCATCACTTGTCAAATATGTGGGTGAGGACCTCACCCTTGAGAAATCCACCCTCTGCTCATCAGTGATAGAAACTTTTGACTTCCCACATGATCTGTCTCCTAGGGCAGCTTTTCCTTTCTCACCTTGTCCCCAGGATCTGAGCTGATTGCTTAGGTGGTCAGTAACTGTACCTTCCCATAGGGAGCTGTCTCCCCCACTCCACTTAGATTCCACCAGTACTTAGATGGATCATTTAAATCATTGTGTGATAAACATGTATTTTTATTCTAAAATATTTTATTAGGACATATTCATTATACAGGGGGGATTCATAGTGACAGTTCTGATTAGGCTCACATTGTACATTGGTTAGATCACTTCTATCCTCTCTCCCTCTCAACCCCCTCCCTGCCCCACTTAAAGCAATTGCAAGAGGTTTCTTTGTTCTATTTTATATAAGTATATGAAGTTCATCAACTGTATACCCTCACCTTAATCTCCTTCCTTCACTCTCTCCTCTCCCACTAATAGCCCCCATAGGATTTTACAATCCTATCCTTCATTATTAACATTTAAATTGATGTTCAAGGGTTTGTCTGTGCATCCCTGCTGTGGGAATACTTTATGTTGGTCCATTCAACCTTTGCATTACTCTCCCTTACCCCTTTACTTCTCACCCCCCGCCCTTTTTCAACAGTTTTCAGTACACATCCTTATATCCTCTACCTCACAGATGTCATGTTTTATGGTATTACTGATGCGCTATCATTCTCTTTTCCTTTCCCTTTTTCCCTGAATTCCACAGAGCAGTTCCACTATTACATACATGTTCTACATATGAGTTGTATATGATCATGTTTGTTTTTGTGTATGTTTTTCTTTAGGGTATGTCTTCCACATGTGAGAGAAAACATGTGGCCTTTGTCTTTCTGAGCCTGGCTTACTTCACTTAACATGTCCTCCAATTGTATCCATTTACCTTCAAACCTTATGGCTGAGTAAAACTCCACTGTGTACATACACCACAGTTCTTGATCCATTCATCAGTTGTAGGGCATCTGGGTTTTTTCCATAGCTTGGCTATTGTGAATAATGCTGTGATGAACATTGGTGTACAGGTGCCTCTATTATATCCTGATTTACATTCCTTTGGGTAGATGCCCAAGAGTGGTATCACTGGGTCATATGGTATTTTTCCCTTTAGCTTTCTGAGGAATCTCCATACTGCTTTCCGTAGTGGTTGTACTAATTTGCATTTCCACAAACAGTGTATAAGGATCCCTGTATAAACGTGTATTTACTAGTCTGTGTTACCTATGAGACTAGGAGTCATTTAAGGCAAGAATTATGTGTTAACATTATTATAATCTGCCATTAATGGATACCTACTAAATATCAGGCACCATGCTGGGTGTTTTATTCTGTAGTATATAAAGTCTTCAGGTTGGGGATGTAGCTCAGTAGTACAGCACTAGCCTACCATGAACAAGGCCCTGGGATCGATCACTAAAAAGGAGTCTTCATAACAGGTTTTCAAAGTGTGTGTTATTATCCCCCTTTATCAGGTAAGAACAGAGTTAAAAGAAGGTACTCATTTAGCAAATGTTCATTGCAGACTTACTTGCCAAGATTTGTGCTAGATGCTATAGACAATCACAGTGAGCAAAACTAATACCATTCCTGCCTCAACTTCCAGGCAAATAGAGATGGCATTCCACATATTATTTTACAGACCATAGTGAGCACAATTTAACCTGGGCCCATCCAGCTGCCTCAGACTGAACCCACCTCTGCCATTTACAACTAGGTGACCTTGGACAAATCTCTTAACCACTCTGCACCTCGTCTTCCTCTTCCATAAAATGGGGATGATAGCAGAACCAACTTCATAGTTGTACACTGTGAAGAGTAAGTTAACATTCATAATGCACAGAACCTGCACGTGCTGGAGTATATTGTTGCCAGTGGTAGTATGAAGGAGTGGCGTGGGATGTTGCTGTATGATAGGAAACTACTTCCTTCGGGTGACATTTGATTGAGACCTACAGGATGAATAGAGTTACCTTGCTAAAGTATATGGGAGGCAAGGGAGGGGATCAGGCTGTTAGAGAAATGGTCCAGGTAGAGGAAATATCATGTGCAAAGCACACTGGGCAAACTCACCTGATGAACTACAAGAGTGTGACTGGAACACAGTAGGAGGGAGCCATCAGGATCTGCAGCTGGGAAAGTGGAGCCCATGATACTAATACAGGGTTCTTCAGGACCAGGACTCTGCACCACACTGGTATCTAGGCCATGTGAGATGCTCAGTAAACGTTTGTCAAGTAAGAAAGCACATGCACAAACAGCTGTTGTCCTCACATGGTTCTGTTGTCACCCAACCAGAAAAGAAGTCCATTGTCCCATATGCATAGTGATGCATGGACATCCATATCTCTACTGTCAAGCTGTATGCATCCATTATGTTGGCCCCTCTTTTCTTGGCGATAAACTAAGACCTGAGTTTGGGCGGGGTTCTCCAACATCTGGGACTCACCAAGGTGTCTGCCATTGGAATCCGCCACAAAAGAAGGGTTTCAGGTCTAAGCCAGTGGTATTGTGATGCATTAGTAATAGAACTCTGTTGATTAATCTTAGTAGAAACCCAACCCTGCCTTAGTGGACAGGCAGAGCTTCCTTACTTCCACTGTATAGGTAAAAGGACTCAGAGCACTTGACAGTTTCTGCTGCACCTGAGAACACACTGAAAAGCAGAGTTAGAAAACCAGGGTGGAGTCCCACCCCCATTTTCAAAGTGGGGAAACTGACGCTCAAAGAAGGAGTGACTCTCCTGAGATCACACCAAGGACAGAACCCAGAACTGAATTCCAGGCATCTGATATCAATTCTCTTACACCAAGATTTTTCTCCACATCACCCTGATGACCCCCCACTCTCTTTCGGTGTGGGGGCCTCAAGATGGGGAGGCACATGGCTGTGATCAGAAGATCACAGTAGTTAAGTTTCCAGACCCATTCAAGGCACAGATCACGAGAGACAAAAATCTGGAGGGCAGGCGTGGGTGGGTTGTTCAGGGTCGTGGCCTGGCTGTGCCATATCTTTTTCTTTTCTTCTTTTTTTTTTTTTCCTTGCTTTTTTAATTGAGTTTGAGGTGGTTGTTTTTGTTTCCTTAAGAAACGGAAAAGAATGAAGCTGCGTAAATACAACGATATTAACTCTGAAAAACCTCCTGCCATTTTAACTCTGTTACTGGAGAAATAAAAGAGAAATAATTTGTCCACCCACACTTAGCTCTGTCTGACGAAGGTAGGTGAATATTGCTTTGCTAATCGAGGGTGACTGCTAGAAGTGGAGCCACGCTGACTGATCCTGGATTGAGAGGAAGCTACAGCAACCCCAAAAGGAGCGGTCCACCGTGGGTCGGCAGAGCCCTGTGTTCGGGCAGGGCCCAGCATCATCACCTGCATGTCCCACCTTCCACAGGTCTTCCCCAGCCGGTAGTGATGGAGGTGCTGGATGAGGCCAAAGAGCTCCCTGACAAGCAGAGAGCTATGCCACCACCCCCACCACCCTCACCGCCCTCAGAGCCAGCTCAGAAGCCACCACCTGGAGGCGCCGGGAGCCACTCCCTCACTGTCAGGAGCAGCCTGTGCCTGTTCGCTGTCTCTCAGTTCCTGGTAAGGATGTACAGGCCTCAGTAGGGCCTGGAGAGGGTGGGTTGAGGGACAGTCTTCTACTTCCTCCCCAAGATGGCTGCCTGGGGAGCTAGAGGGCCCTCAGTTACTCTAAGTCCTCAAGACTTGTGTAAGGGGAAGGCTGGAATTCTGAGCTACAGCCTGTGTAGCTAAGCCCTTCACAACCTGCCTCCTCTAACCCAAGAACCAGGAGCACAGGGGTCCTAACACATGACCCCCTTAATCCTGCAGGGTTCTCTCTGAGGACTTCTTGACTATGGAGGCCTTTTAGGGGACTGACCTTTTTACATGTGTACCTGTGGGGTCTCCTCTGGGAAGGGCTTTGTCTTGGCTGCCTTCAGTCAGCTTCTCTCCAGCTTTTCTCCAGGGAGTATCCTGAGGCCTCCTCTGGGTACATGGCTCCTGGGCATTTCCTTCAGCTGCCCAGTGTGTACCTGAGAGGTTCAGGAGCCTCCTTAGAGTCCAGGTCAGGGCTGAAGGTGAGCTCTACAGGGCAATATGGGAGTAAGAAGCCTGGGCTCTGAGCTCAGCCTGCTCCCTTGACTGCCCCAGCTTGCCTGCGGGGCACTCTGGCTCAGCGGCCATGGCCACACCTGGCTGCAGAATGCCACAGACCTGATCTCCTCCTCGCTCACACTCCTGAACCAGCTGGGACCTGTGGTAAGTAAGTTCTGGGAGCCCCAGGGGAGGGAGATCATCTGGGGGCCTCAGCCTCCCTCCATAGCCCCTGGGTGGTGCTTCTCTAAATTCAGATGTTTCCAAGCCCCTGTAGTATTTCTGCATGCTCCCCACACAGACCAAGGATATAGTTTTCAGAGCCTCACTTTTGTTGCTTTTGAAATAGATGAAAACTCTGCTCCCACCACCACCCTGAACTGTTTGTCTGATGTTCCCCAGGCCTGGCTGGATGCTGGGACCTGGGGGGTCCCCAGTCTGCTGATGGTCTTTCTGTCTGTGGGCCTGGTCCTCATTACCACCCTGGTAAGGCGCTTCCTGACCCCAGCCTTAGTACTTTCCTCCTCCATGCTGAGGCCCTGCTCCCCACTAGCTGTATCTGACTTGTAGGCTGGAAGGCTTAGTTTCTGGGTAGGACAAGGATGGGTATCTGTCTTCTTCTGCCGGTGTGCCCAGCCTGGGGCAAGAGACTCCATATTACTAAAAATTTGTTTGCAGTTACCTGAGCTTGGGAAATTGGCCGAGGTAGGGAGGCCACCAGACCCCACCCAGAATGCCTGAATCCACAAGAAACTGAGGGTCTTGAGAGGGAGAATGGAGTGGAACCTGACATCTAGGCAAGCGGCAGTGCCTCATTTAGTCGGTTCCCAGGAGAGGTTCCCAGGAGGGCAGATACTTGCAGGGAGAGAGGGCTCAATCTCATTGGCACCCCAGGGACCCAGGGGACAGCCGGCATGGGCCCTGGTCCATGATGCCCTATGCTCCCAACCAGGTGTGGCATTTCCTGAAGGCACGCCCAGAGCCACCCACTCCGCTGCCCCCAGAGGACAGGCGCCAGTCGGTGAGCCGCCAGCCCTCCTTCACCTACTCAGAGTGGATGGAAGAGAAGGTTGAGGATGACTTCCTGGACCTGGACCCCGTGCCTGAGACACCTGTGTTTGACTGTGTGATGGACATCAAGCCTGAGGCCGACCCTGCCTCACTGACTGTCAAGTCCATGGGTCTGCAGGAGAGGTGGGAGGGGTGGAGAAGAGGTGGGCTCTGTGGACTCTCACACTCTCATTCAGAAGGGTAGATGCCTGACTCTGACCCCAGTGGCCAGGACAGAGCTAACCTCTTAGCTTGGCCAGAGTAGATATATGTGCTTTTTGGGGAATTCACATAGATCAAAGTGCCCCAAGATGAATAATAAAAAAATGCTACACACACACACACACACACACACACACACGAGACACCTTCAGGTGTGCACACTCACATACTCTCCTTTGCTCAAGGAACTTTGGGTAGGTTTCCTTACTGCAGGACTTGTCAGGATCTTTGACATGCCTGTTTTCATTATAAATCAGCAAGGGGACAGTATTTAGCATCTTCCAAAGTATTTTGGCCACAGAACCCTGCTTTTTTAGAGGGTCTCATAGTGTTTGGCAGAGTGCACTTTGACAGGTGTAGACACTCTTTTCTGAGCCTAACTAGGTAAGCCAGATCACATCAGGATTAAGTTACCTACATGATAGATAAAAACAGCATTGGATGGGGAGTCAAGAAACCTAGCTGTTTGTTTCAGCTCTGCTAGGTAATCCTTGTCCCTTCATGGAGACTCAGTTTCCCTTTCTATACAATCAGGACCCTTCCTGTTTTGTGGTTTTATACAGTGAGCGTAGTAGAGTTGGTCTAATGTAGATATCCTTGCTGCCACTTGCTACCCCCAGGAATTCCTCCTTCCTTGGCAGCTGAGGGTTCTGACCGCTCCAGGAAGAGATGTCCTTGACCCAGTGGCAGCCTCATTCTTGGACTGCTGGGCCCAGGACTGTGTTACAGAGGTCTGGAACCATCCTCTCTGGCTTGAGCCCTGCCTGTGCCTTCGGCAGGTGTCTTCTCTGTGGGCTTTCTGGGGCCACAAGGTGGAGCTATATCCAGCAGTAACAGGAGTCCAGGAGAGGACCATACTGGGGTTGCTTTGGATGGAATTTTTAGAACTCCCACTGTGGGAGGCAGGAAACAGGGATGCGTGCCTTGGCCTCAGGGCTGAGCATCATGCGCCTTGTGATGGGGTCTTGTCAAACTCCTACTCCTTTCCCCAGAACCCACCTTGATCTCCAGCCCTGATTCTCCTCCGTCCTCTCTGCAAGTCAAGGTCCCCAGCTAAAACCTCTTCCTGCCAAAGACTCACTTCCTCTTCCCTGGTCCTTCCAGGAGGGGCTCCAATGTCTCCCTGACCTTGGATATGTGCACTCCGGGCTGCAGTGAGGAGGGCTTTGGCCACCTTGTGTCCCCGCGTGAGGAGTCGGCCCACGAGTACCTGCTCAGCGCCTCCCGCATCCTTCGAGCTGAGGAGCTGCATGAAAAGGCCCTGGACCCTTTCCTGCTGCAAGCCGAATTCTTTGTGAGTCCTCTAGCCATCCACCCCACCGTAGGCAGACTCTTGCACTCACATTGCTCATTGGTCCAACAGCCTCATGTCTGGAGTAGACTAATGTCCCCTAGTTATCACCTCTCCCACCACCTTGGACAAGCTCTTCCCCCTCTCAACCTCAATTTCCTCAGCTAGAAAATGGAATGAAAATAATAGGATTGTTGCAAAGACTAAAGAGACTGATAACATGTACAAAGCAGCCAGTGAGTGATTGGTGTGCAGTGGTGTTTCTAGGTCTGTGACCAGGACTGTGATCTGAAAGCCATAGAAAGCCACCTCTTCTCACTCTCCTGTCTTCCCATTATCCTCTACCTGACATAACCACATGTTCATCCTCTTGATGACTCTCTTGTCTCCTCCTCTCCTGCCCACCCCTGACTCTCACTTAGGTCTTAACCCCCTTCTGCAGCCTCTGCAGCAACCTCTGACTGCCTCCTTTTGGACTTTGAGGAGCCCAATAAAGGACAACCCTGTTCACCTGCCTGGAAGCTAGGCTAATTAAATGCTAAGCCATCAGAGAGCTCAGTGTCACCTTTATTGTCACAAAATGGCAGGTTTGAAGTAAGGCTCAGTAGTGGGTAGCAAGAGTAAACTTCCTGATATGGAGCCCCAGAATTCGAAAGACTTTCTACCCTCACAGTCAGTTCTGGTCTTGCCCCAAGGAGACATCCCATAATTCTTTCTTATCAGAAGGGCCTGAGAGGAGGAGGAAGGAAGGGGCTGGGGCCCACAAGCCCATTTCCTCAAATCAAACTCACCATCCCCTTCAGACCCACTACTACAAGCTCTTCAAAACTTGGCACTGCCTGCAGAAGAAATCACCCCACCCCATGCAAGGTGGTGTAGCCCAGCCTCCTCCTCCAGCGTTAGGCTCAACCTGAAACCTCTGCAAGGACTGCCCACTTGAAACTGGACCAGTCTCACTTGTGCCTTTATCCTCCCGAGCCTTCTTCACATCACTCCCCACCCTGATGTCTCTGGAAAGCCTTCCTTCCCCCACCCCAACCTCATTTCCCACTCCAAGCTCCCACCATCTTCATCTCACCTTGCAGAAACAGCTGGCATCCTTTATGTCCTTTTCTGTTCAGTAGAAATCATAGATTTTGCCAGAGAGGAAGGAACACAGCCTGCTCACCCACTCCACAGGCAGTTTTGCACATATGGGTTTTTTTTTTCTTTTGATTTTTCACAGCATCTCTAGAAGGTATTATGATCTGCATTTTGCAAAGTCTTTATAGTGTGTCCAGAAGCAAAGGACCATATGAAACTGCGTGCAGTTGGGTGCCAAAATGTGTGGACAGATTGGAAGGGAGTGCAGAGGCAAGCAGCACTAGGAAGTCACCCCAGAGGACATTAGGGGAGATGGAGCTGGGTGGGACCTTAAGCAATGGAACAATATGGAGAGGTGGAGGCTGAGACCAGTGCTCCCAACAAATAGAATGCCACAAGCTCAGACCTGGAGGCAGGACTGAGGATGGCATGTCAACAATAGGAAAGAGATGGCAAAGCTAGAAAAAAAGAGGCCAGGTCCAAAAAGACCTTACACCAGGAGTACAAGTCAGACCTGGAGTTCTTAACATAGAACTGGTTGGAAGGGTAGAGACAGCCTAGAAGCTCAGCAAGAGGCTCTCTTCCTGATGGATAATCAGGGAAGGGTTCTAAGAGGAGATGGCCTTTCAAAGAGATAGGATATGTGAGATGAGGGTGGAGTGACTGTTATCCCAGAGCATGAGTCAAGATCCAAGATAGAGGTGCCCAGGGAAGGAGTACATATCAACAAAGCCACCTGGATTGGCTGCTGCACACAGAGTGGGGAAGAAGGCAGTGATTGGCCAGGTCAGTTTTTTCTTTACTCATCAACCATTTGTTGTCTACCATATAGCAGGCTGGTTAGCAATAAACAACAGTCATAACATTTATTATGTATTTGGCATATACCAGGCACTACTGTAAATGCACACGTGCTAACTCACTTTATAGTAAATGTTTGTCAAATGAATGCATGCTCTCAAGCCAGCCCCTGCACTAGAAGTTGGGGGCACACAGCCCTTGGACTTGGACATCTATGAGGGCCAGTCCACAGCTGCTTATACCCCCATGTCCTCTTCCTCCAGGAAATCCCTATGAACTTTGTGGATCCGAAAGAATATGACATCCCTGGGCTGGTGCGGAAGAACCGGTACAAAACCATCCTGCCCAGTGAGTACTTGCTCCCCAGGGCACAGGGAGGCTCTCCTTCACCTGGGAAGGTCTTAAGTCCAGAGCTGGGCCTCCAGGGGTAATGAGATTCTCATCATGTAAGGAGAAGGGAAGTAGGGCCTGGAGTGTCCAGTGAAGGGAAAAGCACCCTCGCACGAGGGCAGAGGATAGTTCACTTCCTTGCACAGCATTGCCTGGACCTTTGCTCTGCTGTCCAAGTGCTGTGCTGTGCACTGTAGAAACCCCAGAGAGAAAGGATGACTCGTGTGCAGTGCACAGTGACTGAAAAGCATGCTCACATTCTTTCTCACTTCAGCATCGGCTAGGAAGTGCAGAGCTGAGTTTCAAACCTGGGTCTCTGTGACCCCAGAAATGGACTCTTGTTTATCTTGTGTTCATTGTGCTCCAACGGCCAGTCCTCGAACAGGTGGAGCCACCCCACAGTGGAAGGAGCTCCTCTGCAGTAGCCAGGTCCCTGCCACTCAGCATATTCCATCACCTTAGACTAGGTGACCTAATGTTCCCATTCTGTTCCTGTGGAGTCATTTTCAGGTAACTTTCATCAAGCTGCCTGTGTCCCCTGCTGTGTTCTAGCCCTAGGCCCTAGGGCTAGCTTGGGGGTGACTTGTTGAAAGTCAATCCCTAAAAACCTACTCCACTCAGTTTGTGGAGTAGCGAGGCTTTAAAAAAAGCAGTTTTGCCATCAGCATCTCCAACAACATGTAAGATGTCATGACTTATTTTTAACTTTTAAAATATCGACTTGTGGTTGCTATGGTTACACAGTCTCTAGGTAGTTCCGGTTAAACAAAGCACCATTTAAGGCCAGGATGCATTATTAAGGGCTGCTCACCTCTTCCCTCATCTTGCCCTTCCCTTCCCAGCTCTACCTGAAGGGAGGGGCTCGGACACTCCAGAACCTAGAACTTTGCCACCAGGTCACAGAATGGCCACTACAGTTAAGTCAGTAGTACCTGCTGGGTTATGACAGGCACCAGCAGACTCCAACCATGCCCTGAGCCTCCCAATCCCCAAACCCACCCCGAGAATGTTGTCTGTGTCCAGCCAGAACTGACCCAGCACGCTCAGAGCCTGGTGGGGGGACAAAGGGCAGGTCAGGCTTAACAGAGGCCCCCTCTCAGATCCAGGAGATTCTGAGGTTGGTTCTCTCATTCATTCAGCACATCTTCCCCAGATACCTAATGAGAAACTGATTCTGTATACATGGGACTCCCAGCTACTGGGAGAGACAGGTTTATGGACAGTCACACTCAGCATAATCAGTAACCCAATGGGCAGCATTGAGAATAAGAGGTAGGGGGTCAATTTATGTTTCTTTCACCAGTGTCCCAAGCACCAAAACAGTACCTGGCACATGAGAGACATTCTGCACCTGTTTGAATGAGTGAATGAATGAACAAACAAATGACTATCTCTCAAGTCTAGCACTCCCCTCCATCTTCACTATCAAATGATTTGGGGAGGGGTGTTGGGCTTCCATGTTGCCCAGTTCCAGGGAGTGCCATTTACATACAGTACACTGATATAAGTGCCCCTTGGAATCATGCCAGACAGAGCCTCCCTATGACCTTGACACTTCTTACTTGAATTATTGCAGTAATCTCCTAACTGGTATCCTGACTTCCACATTCTCCTGTCCACCTTCTACCATACCAACCATCAAAATGGCACAAAACAGATACTAATTGTATCACCTTCTTCTTTAAACACTGTCATTGTCACCCTTTCCAAGAATAATTTACAAGATCCAGATTCACTTCTCACCAACCCCATCCTTGCCTCTGTGCACCTGAATCAAAGAAGTGTTCCCTGCTTCTCCTTCTACTGGTCCTTCAACCCTAGCCAGGTGTAACCCCTTCTAGGAAGCCCCTCCACCCTAGTCAAGCCAAGCACCTCCTCTGTTTCCCCAGCCCCATTGCTCTCATGCCACACACTACTTGTCTGCCTGCTCAACACTGTGTCTTCTTTGGAGCAGGGCCAAGGCTTATTAATCTGGGTGTCCTTTGCACATGCATAGCACCAAAGTCCATGTTTAGCCAGGATTGTGGAATAGAATCGTTCTCATCACTACAGTGGTTCCTGGCATCCGGTCACAGGGAGCGGTGCCGCTTTTGTCTTTCCACCACCTATCTTGGGCAGGTGCAGCCATGGAGAAGGGAGATGACTCAGACAGAAATGCCTACTCCTTGCTTCTGCTGATCACTTCTGACTCTCCTGCTTACCCTCTTATCCATCCCTGCCACCCTTCTGTGCCTTCTTCATAAGAGCTATCCAATCCCAAGTCACCTGCCAAGACCAAGTAGGCTGGGGCAGGCAAAGAGCTGAAGGAGGGAGGCTGATGAGTATCACTTCCATTTCTTCTACCAATTTTGGATCCTTCTTTCTGGCAAATCCACTTCTGGTAAAACTTATAACAAGAGCAACTACTTGCTGTGCAATATTTACTATATGCTTGTCTGTGCTACTTACTGACCTAAAGGCTCTGCTTAGTCATGCTCGCTCTTTTAACCTTTCTAAAACAAATGAGGTCCTCATGGAAGGAGTACCCCCAATTTATACATAAAGCACAGGGAGATTAAGGTTGACACTGCTAGTAAGTCATAGAGCCAGGATTTAAACCCAGGCTCTCTGGCTCAGGGGTGTAAACTGTTAATGATACCCCTATGCTGCCTTTGAGAGCCCCATAATGTGAACACAGGAAGTGCCTTTAGGCCAACCCTCCCTGGTGCAGTGGAGAAACTGAGGCCCAGAGAAGAGGTAAGACATGGAACTGACGACAAAGCAATCAGGGCTCTGGGCCTCCAGGAAGCTTCCCTGAGCCACCCCTCAGAATGTCCCAATCAGTCCCAGCCTCTCAAGCTGACAGGCTAGCCAATACAGGGAGGCCCTCACTGGAACAGAACAAATTCTACTCCAGGAAGAACAAGATGTTATAGGAACCTGTTACTATGGGATTTGACACGTGAAAAGATTGGAGAGGAAACCCTTTGTGCACATGTGTCTGTACTTCAGAGAGCTACAGACCTCATTTCAGATGTGATATTCTCTGGCAGCTTTCTATCCCCAAATCTTTTTTTTAATTTTTACTAGCATATGATCATTGTACAGGAGGATATATTGTGATAGTTATATATGTGCTTGCAATATATCTTAATTAGATTTACCCCCTCCATCAGTCTCTTTCTTCCTCCCTCACCTCTTCTTAGAACAACTTCAACAAGCTTCATTCTTCTATTTTCACATAGAGATACAAAATACATCCACTATATTCACCCTCAATTCCTCCTTTCCTTGTGCCCACCCACCTCCCACTGGTGCCCATTCCCTGGAAGAGGCTTATTTTTCTCTCCTACCCTTCTTTTTTATTTTAATGTATATTGATAGTCCAAGGGTCTACCCCCAAATCTTAACCACCCTCTATATTTATAAAGCACTTTATATTTATACAGTACTTTCACATCTGTTTTCTCATTTATTTCCCCAAGATCCTAGAAAGGAGGCATCTTTACCCCCATTTTACAGATAAAAGAGTTTTAAAAGCTGACACAGAAGACAGTGGCAGTGTGTATTCAAACCCTGGCTGCCACCTACTGTACAGGATCTGTACCCTAGGTCATTCCTTTATTAACTAGCTTTTCCCACTCGAAAACCTGAGGTTCAGTGAATACAGGACAGTTTGAGAGGTACAGGCAAAGGGTAGGCATTGATCTTACAGAGGTGGGATGAGGCCTCTCTCTCTCTACTTTCTTCCATCTGGGTCCTCACCTTCCTGCATGGACCAAGGATGGGTCAGTTTTGTGCTACTGGTTGGGAAAGGAAGAATTGCTTCAGCCCCAGAAGAAATGTGGGTGTTGGGTAGTGGGTCAGAGAAGGTGGGTCCTGCACCAGTGAGTCCAGCTCCCAGTCTCACCTGTATTTCCCCCCACAAACCCCATACTCCAGATCCTCACAGCAGAGTGTGTCTGACCTCATCAGACTCCGATGACCCTCTGAGTAGCTACATCAACGCCAACTACATCCGGGTATGTAGTCCTATCCTAGTGGTCTTCCCCTGAAAAGGATGCCTAAGCCATCCTCTAGGCTTATCCCTAAGCTAAGCTGGTTTCTGCCAGTCTTGGGAGGAGCCAAGTGTGAAGACTGGGCCCCGGGAGCCCTACCTTTGACCCTGAAAGGCTCAACTTGACTGGCCACAGGGATATGGTGGAGAGGAGAAGGTGTATATCGCCACGCAGGGACCCATCGTCAGCACAGTTGCCGACTTCTGGAGCATGGTGTGGCAGGAGCACACACCCATCATTGTCATGATCACCAACATCGAGGAGATGAATGAGGTAGAGACACCATACCATTCCCAAGTGCCAGCTACTTTAGACTCCACATTGAGCATCTTATTTTTATATTAACCCTTAGGACAATCCTGTGAGACTGGTAGTATTCACTCCACTATCAAGATGAGGAAATGTGAGGCTCAGTTAAGGTTGAGTTGTGTGCTCAATTCCACACAATCAAAGGAGAGCCTAGAGGCTGGCCTCTCCCCACTCTAGTGCCCATGACCTTAAGCACAACACACTGCTGCCTTCCAGGCTGCCAGGACTGACTGATGTCTATGACGGTAATAGCCCATTTAATTGAATACCCTTAAAAGTCCTTCAAATTGGTATTGTTTCCATTTTCCATCTAGGGAAAGTAAGGCTCAGAAAAGAGAAATAGCTTACAGGTTTATGAACCTTTCTAACAGCAAACCTGTTGCCCTTGTATATGTCTCCATTGGTCCTGGTGAGGATGGGGAGAGTGTGGGAGGGGAACAGTGGTGTATCCCAGCCTGATTTGGACCTCTACAGAAATGTACCGAGTATTGGCCAGAGGAGCATGTGGTGTATGATGGCGTGGAGATCACTGTGCGGAAAGTCATTCACACTGAGGATTACCGACTGCGACTCATCTCCCTCAGGGTGAGGCCTGTGGTTATGAAGGGCTGGGCTGGGCTGGGAGGATGGAGGAAAGGAGCTTCGCAGAGTCCCTGCCTTCTGGTATAGGGCCCACTCCATAGCACCATAAACGCCTGTGTCACTCCCTGGGTTTACTGGTAAGCAGTGATGAGGGAGGTGTTCATGGACTTGTGGGCCAGAGGCAAGACCAAGCCCCAGCTGCATGTCCCAAACCTCAATTGCATAATGTCTTTTATCTCTGCTTCACATGCTCCCAAGACCAGGATGGTCTGGATAAGGGGACTTTATCACCCTCTAGCATTGTCCTAATAACCGAAGGTTCATTATAACTTTGAGATACAGCCTGATCACATCCCTTCAACTGAGATATAGCTTCTTGCCTGTAGTTCCCAATAAATCCACTAGAGGGCAAGCACTCCTTGTTGCTTTAGGGTTGCACAGGAGGCTGTGTTAAAGAAAATGGCATGTAAGACACAAAATATGAGCAATGCAAAACAGCCCAAAGGAGTGGGGGAAGCAACCTCCCACCATAAAGTTGTGCTTCTTCCAGGATGAGCATAATAAAAGAGACTGTTCCTTTGGAAGGAGGGGGATTAGGAAGTTCTGTATTTGAGGAATGATACGAGATCCATGTGGAAGGTGGAGTCTACTATAATAACCTGAAAAGGTGAATGAGGTTAAGCCAGGAAACTGATGCCCTATCCAGAAACATACTAGGAAGTCTATTGGTACTGATAGCCACAGGGTCCAGCCTCAGAAATGAGCTCAGTCCATTCAGCTGCCTCTCTCCTACTAGATGGGTGCTAAGCAGGATGTCAGGACCACCTCAGCCCTGTAGGACAGAGCCACCTGAGCAGCTCCATGCCACAGCTCTTTCTGGAGGCCCTAAAGGGCGAGAAAATGCAGAGCAGAGACTGGCTGTCAGAGCCAGGTAACTCAAGGACCTGAGGAACCAGCTTCCCAAGTAGAAATTTCCCAGAGATGCCCAGGGTTGGGGATTCCTTATCTTCTTAGTGCTGTGGGGCTGATTAGGGAAGAACCAGGGCATCTTGGGGCTTGAAGGCATTTACTTTTGTCTATAAACTGTTACAGATACCTGCCCTGGACTTAGTTCTGGGCTGGGTACTAGGAACACAGCTATCCAAAACCTAGACTCTTGCCTCAAGGAGTGCCCATAAAACAGCAAGTACCAAGCTAGAGATAGTTAAGGACACTTTTCCAGCTGGCAATGATCAGGAAGGGCTTCCTGGAAGTAGTTATGATGGATGGAATCTTGAAAGATCAGAGTTGACCAGGGACAAACAAGTGCAGAAAGCATTCCCAGCAGAGAAAAAAGTAAAAGTCATGGGGGAAAAAACTCTGTGTGTGTGTATGTGTGTGTTTATGCATACACACATATGCCATACTGCAGAGATTTTATCTACAAACCTTTTGGAGTGTGGGAACACCAGTTAAAAGTATACAGTGGCAGGAGATGTGCCTGGAAAGGTAGATCCTTCACCAGACATCTTATTTGCTATGTTAAAGACTGAAGAGAGTGGATTTTTTTTTTCAGAGTAGTGAGAGCCATTGAGGGATGTCTTGGTCAGTTTGGGCTGCTATAACATCATAGACTAAGTTGCTGATAAACAACAGGTTTATTTCCCATAGTTCTGGAGGCCGGGAAATCTAAAGTCAAGGCACCAGCATGGTCGGGTCTGGTGATGGTCCACTTCCTGATTTATCTCCTCACGTGGCAGAAGGAGTTCTTTGGGCCTCTTACCTAAGGACATGAATCCCATTCATAAGGTCTCTGTTCTCATGATGTATTAGAAGTCCCCTCACATTGGAAAGTCAGTTTCAACATATGAATTGGGGGATGGGAGAGCAAAACACTCAGGTTTCAAGTACAGTGCAAGGGGTTTAAAGTACAGTGCAAGGGGTTTCAGATTTGAGTTGTAGATAGACCATTTTGACTGCCATTTGGGATGATCAGGGCAGAGGATGGGATCTCCGTGCCGAGGAGAGATGATAAAAGTCAAAGTGGGGATAGTGGCAATGGAGAGGAGGATGTGGAGATAACACTGACAACACTTAATGACGGTGGTGGCATAGCCAGGCAAAGCAATGAGGAGAAGGAAGAATTGTGTTGTCCCCCTGCCACCTTCTCTGGGTCATGTGACTAAGGGACAACTGAGACATTTGTCAAGATAAGTAACCTGGAGACAGTAATGAATTAGAAAAGGGGCTCCTGGCATCTCTCAGATGATCCTGGAGTTTGAGGGTAGAACTGAAGAGCAAACGGATGCCAACACCACTGACCAGCTCCCTTCTAACCAAGCTGACTTTGGGCCTCTGTCCTATGACATTGGGCAGTATGGTGTAGACGGGAGAATTAAGGGACCACATTCTTTGTGTGCTCCTCCCATTTCATCTCCATCTCTGGGTAGTTTGTGGGCTAAAAGTGTTCACATGCATCTGGGGTGGGCCTCTGTCTCCTGGACAGAGCGGGACTGAAGAACGAGGCCTGAAGCATTACTGGTTCACATCCTGGCCTGACCAGAAGACCCCAGACAGGGCACCCCCACTCCTGCACCTGGTACAGGAGGTGGAGGAGGCAGCCCAGCAGGAGGGGCCCCACTGTGCCCCCATCATTGTCCACTGCAGGTGAGTTCTCCCAGCCACCACTGGGTGGGGCCACACCCCTCACCCCTGGGCTGCCCTGCTCCTCACCCACCCATCCCCTCGGCCCTCAGTGCAGGGATTGGGAGGACCGGCTGCTTTATTGCTACCAGCATCTGCTGCCAGCAACTGCGGCATGAGGGCGTGGTTGACATCCTGAAGACCACGTGCCAGCTCCGTCAAGACAGGTCAGTCCACCTGTAATAGTGGGAGCATATGGGCTAGCTAGAGCCTGGGGGATATAAGGGGAGGTAGATGACACACTGGGCATGAACTGATGGGCAGATGAGGAACAGAGAGGACAGCTGGTAGAGGACAGGATCCAGAGGGTTCACTTGAAGAGAAAGAGGGAAGAGAAGCAGCTGGTGGACAGGATAGGGGCTGGGAGCAGTGGGCATGTTATCTGTGTCCCTGACAAGATGGGGAAGGGGGCCATTGCTGGCAAGGGCTGCTCTCTCCAAACACTATAAGGACATGGTCACCAGCATGCCTCACATATGATTGGTACTCCATGGGTTTGGACGCCCCTCCTGCACCCATCCCTCAGTGACCCCACTGTGCATCTCTGCTGAGCAGGGGTGGCATGATCCAGACGTGCGAGCAGTACCAGTTTGTGCATCACGTCATGAGCCTCTATGAGAAACAGCTGTCCCGCCAATCCCCAGAGTGACCACACTCCTCCTCTGAAGTCCTCTGGGCACTGCCCAGCCTGAGTCTGGGCCCTCATCCCAGCTACCCTGGGCCTGCTCCCTGTCCCTGCCCCTCCCTCTTCCTTCTCTTCAGTCTGCTCTCTCCTTCCTCTGTTAGCCTGACCTGGCCCCTACCCCCAGCCTAGCTCTTCCTACTGTACATATTGGGGAGTGGGGGAGGGTAGGGGAGGACGTGCCAGGCCAGGCCTGGGGCCCCAGGGCCTGCAGACCCACACCATGCAGACCTGGGGCCTCAGTTTTAACCATGGTTCCTTTGCTACTTGATCCAAAATGTTTCTGTGCTGCACTCCAAGTGTCCTGCTGCAACGTGTTTTGTCTATCCATCTCTGCTGTCTATACCGGACACTGTGTCTCCTCGGCCGGGAAAGGGGTATTGAGTTCCAGCTCCTAAGCAGCCAGGCAGAGGTGCCTGCCTCCTGGCTTCCACCCCCACTCCTCCCAATAGGCAGATTGCATTTTGCACCTAGTTATTATAACCAGGATGTAAAGGGTAGGACTAAGAACCTGGAGGCCAGGCAGAGTAGCTCCTGAGAGGTTTCCAGAGAGAGCCCAGCTGGGGAAGGTCTCTCGGTTGGGGTGAGCGTCACAGCCAGTGTGCACTCTGGGTTTCAAATGCCCTCAGGAAGCAATGACCAGCTGTGAGGCACTGAAAAGCAGGGAAACAGATGGGGGTGGGGAACCCAGAGGATCTGGGCCCTGGTTGGGGGATGGAAGGAACTTCAAGGATGGGATGGGGACTAGGCCTCAGATCTTTGTGAAGCTTTTTTCTGTGTCATTGTGGGAAAGCCTTCCCCAAAGTCTCACTGTGGGTCGCTCTGCGTGTGTTTCTGTGTCTTGCGTGTGTCGAGAGCCCATCAGCAGAGCATGCATGACTCTTTGGCAACTTGTTATATTGGAACCACGTGTTTTTATCGCTGACTTTAAATATTTATTCCACGGCAGACAGAGACATTCGATGTCTTTTTATAATTCGCTCGTGGTCATTGAATAGAGCAATAAACAGCATTTTGAGCAAAACTAGCCTTCTGGGTCTGTGTGAGTTACCTCTCCCCTCCATTCCCTGCTCTCTGTACCTTGGGCTTTTTGCCCATTTTTCCTGGCAAATACACAGAGAGCTTAGCTCGAATGCTTACTGAGAGCCACTATGGGGCAATCCAAATTTGCAAAACCAAAGTAAGTCCATTCTGCAGAATTCTCACATACCTTCAAGCCCCAGCCCTCTGAGGACCCTGAACTATAAGGAAGAGGCTTCCAGTGTCTGGCTTCAACAGGTGGGCCAGAAAAGCTTAGGATAGGATAAAGGGACATTCAGGTCACACCCAGGCCCTTCCCTGTTGACCAGCCTACTTAACCCATCTTACCCGCACAAGTCCCAATAGCAGCTGCAGTCCAGCAATTTCCCTTGTAAGGCTTGGGCTGAGAGTAGCCCCTCCCAGGGGGCCCAGGGAATCAGATCCTAAGCCATCCTGCTCTATTCTTATCCTCTGCCCTCTGGGATGGAGCAAAAGTAGCTGTGACACCACTAGTGGCAGATGGAGATCACCCCAGGGCAGGAGGGGATTCAGGGCAGGGCTCCTGACCAGCTAGCAGGTCCTTAAAAGATAATAGAACCTTGCAGCCTAGGTCAAGAGTCCAGCCATGCAGGAAAAGAACAGCTCAGATGGAGGCCACAAAGAAAGGTATCAGCCACCCTCACACAGAGATTGCCCTCACAGAGACCGTCCCTTTATTCTGTCCTAAGGTTTTCTGGCCGACCTATTGAAGTCAGACATTGGAAGGCTCTCACACCTGTCTTTGAGCTTCCCTATAGTCCAGGGTACCTCAGGGCCCTTCAACACTGATTTCAGAGGCTAGTGTGTGGAGTAGGAATGGGGAGGAGAGCTCACGTTTTCTTCTCCCCCAGGGTGGCTCTGTAAGACCACTTCAGCTGTGTATGTACCATATATTCATTGCAACATGAATGTTATCCCCTGGATTTATACAGGTGGCAGATTCCCTAGACTCCTCCCAATCCCAGGAAAAGAGCAGACCTATGGGCTCTGCTCCCAAGCACTGTTGGAATATACACGCACATGTACACACACTAACCTGTGTCCCATAGATCAGAAAGGTCCCACTCAACAGAGAGGCAAACCCGCTAACACAGGGCACAGGAAAAATACCATGGACCACCACTGTCAGCCTTTCTCCCGCCTGGTTCCCAGCATTTCCTCCAGCCTTAGATCCAGCTAGCTTCCCTCCCCCTTATCCTACCCCCAAAACAGTGTACCATCTAGCTGAAGTAAGAGCTTGAGTAAGGGATCCCCCCCGGGGGGTGGGGAACAGGAATTTAAGGAACTGATGACTCTAGGTTCCCCACTGTTGGGGTAAGGAAGAAGGCGATCTGCCACCCTTATGGCCTGGGTACTAGCTGAGCCTTCAAGCAGCACAGCATTCAAGTGTTGAGAAGATACTGGTCAGTGCAGAAGTTAAGACTTCCCTCTTCCCTCTTCCCTCTTCCCTCTCTCCTCTTCCCTTGTCCCTCTCCCCTCTTCCTTCCAGAAAGAGGCATAGCCTGGTACCTTCTGAGCCCAGAGAAGGACACAGGATAAGGGCAGGAGCCAGGACAGGGAAGTGATCTCAGAACCCAGAGGTAGAAGCAGCCCAGGCAGAGATATATAGGCTGTGTGTTAGGGGTCAGCCTCGGACCACCTGGTTCAGAAAAAGACTTTTGAGTTCCCTGGCATGTCATTTCAATCAGACATCAGTTTTCCTCATATACCAACTAGGCATATAAAAACTGCTGTGCTGGAGGAGGCAAGCATATCCATTCATTGCTGTACTGTGGAGTTGTTAACAAGAATGAAGAAATGCCTTATCAACTGGTATACAAAGATCTCTAAGAGACATTAAGTGAAAAAAAGAAAGGGACAGAACACTGAATACAATAGACAGCCTGATGTGTCCACAAGGCAGTGGATAAGAGCATATATCTATGTCCACATAAAGGGAACTCCATACAGACTACATATGGTCAAGGAGGCTTGGGAGATGGGAGGCTCAAGAGTGGAAGGAGATGTTTATGTGTTTTATTACTTAATGCATTGAATTACTGGTTTGAGAAAGTATATGAAATAAAAACTTAACCTCTGCCTTTACCTGTGGAGTTGCCCTGTCATCTTAGATTCCACCAATGCCAGAGATTCCCAGGGCTCAAAAAAGATCCATAGCTTCCTTGTAAGGGCCACTCCAGTGGCTTAGTCAGGAAGTTCCTCCTTAAGACTGAGTTCATGCCTTCCTAGTGAAACATCCAGCACTCCGTCCCTAGTCCCATACAGTTATCAACACAAGTATCCCCAGCTCCTGGTGGGCCTTACTTGGTTGGCTGGGGTAAGTTTAAGCCCTGTATCCTCTCCTTTCAAGAACTTGGAATTGTTTTGGGTTACGCAATGAGGCAACAGGCCCACTGGTCCCTTTCAAGGAAAGGTAAATAGGGAGTAAAAAAGAGGCCAGAGAGTAAAGGCCTGCTGCCTATCTGCTCTCCGGCCATCTGGTGTGTACTCCCATCATGCCTTGTGTCTACACACACACATCTTTGAATATCCGTCCTACTCCCTCCCCTGTCATGGCCTAATCCTCTCCCTGGTCTGAACAGGTGAGTGCCCAAGCCTGCTGTCACCATGACTACCACTCACCACCAGCATATGGTAGAGGAGTTTGTGTCCATGGAGTTTTCCAGCTCCGCCACCCACATGCAGACCTTCTCCCAGACAACCAAGATCGTGGGAGGCAAGTGGAGTGGATGAAGGAGTGGGAAAGAGATGCCTTCCTTCCTCAAAACCAACTTCTGATGGTCTCCAGTCTTTGTCACTACTGGGCCCCTCAGGAGTCCGTAATACCAACAGTAACCACCTCCTGTACTTCTAATCTAGAGCTTGATAACACTTCACACAGCTGGATGTTTACTCAGATCAGATCTCCAGGAAAACATTAAGAAAAACCAATCACATGGATGGGTGTGAAGCATTGATAAACTCTTAACTGTTTAAGGTGTTCAGAGCCAGAGGCAAAGAGAATGCCTGGAGTTCAGGTATGCAGGAAGGTAGGAAGATAGTCACCTCATCTACAATGACTAATGTTGATTCTGCTCCACTTAAGAAATGGGTAACTTGGCCATCAGTGGAGACAGGATGAACACAGAAACAAGTGACCTAAGCTCCCAGGCTCTTAATCCTTGGAGGCTAGATTTTGTGGAGGGAAGATCCAAGGGAAAGCTGAGAAAAAGTCTCAAAACAGAGCATACTGTTTTAGTCATGTCTTGTGGAAAGTGATTAAAAGATGGCCAGGGGCCAGCATATTGAACATCTGTCCTCACTGTCATTGCCTCTCCTTCAAGGTCCCAGAAGGATACAGTCCCTCAAAGTCCTCTGTATACAAGCCACCAAATAAACACTATACCAACCGCTCCTGGCCAGTGAGTCAAATGGAACAGCCAGGACTCAAAATCTGTGATCTAGACCAGAAGTTACAAACTTAAGTGATTTGTAGCAGTGATTCTTACCCCCACCTGAACATTAGAGGCATCTTAGTGTAGGGAGTCAGGGGTGGGAGTGTAAAAAATGGCAAAATCTAAGTCTCACCCCAGACCATTAAATCAGGAATTTTTTTAAGCTCTCCAAGGATTCTAATGTGCATCTAGAGTTGAAAAACACTGACCAACAAGTCTAGGCAGGGAATGTGAATGTGGGGAAATTAGTGGGGGTAAACTGGAGAGGATATCCCATCTAAAGGGACAGCCACAATTCACTTCCCATTGATTGTTGCCATATGAGAATACAAGTCCAGCACTAAAAATACAACAATCTGAATGTTTATGTTAGATCCTTCCTTTTTTAGATATAGGCCTACTTTTTTTTTGCTTATATATTGTGAAGGTATAAAAAAAAAGACATATTTGGATCAGGTACAGCCTATACAGTGCCTATTTGAGACCTTTGGTCACCACTTAAAAGCAGGCCATGGAGGCTTCTTAACACTGTTTTATCTCAGTCCCACAGGTTATTGGAGATAATAAAATCATCTGCTTCACTGGGATAACTGTGAGGATTAAATGAGATAATCTCCAATATGTGCCTAGCCCAGTTCATGACATAAGGAAAGTGCTCCATGGATCAAACCCATTATAATTTTTAATAACTCACCAACCAGGAAGATTTTATGTAGTTTATATGTTTATATTTTTCTTTAATATGAAATTATATTTACCACATTTAATATGCTCTTGAGGGCAAGGGTATAGCTCAGTGATAAGTGTGTATATTTAGCATGTAAGGTCCTGGGTTTGATCCCCAGAACCTCCCAAAAAAGTAATGTGCTCTTTCAGATAAGGAGATTCCAATGTATAACCCCACTAAAGTGGGAACGTGTCCTGTCCCTCACCCAAGAATTACCTTTTCCAAGGCAAGGAACGCTGAATCCACAGAATGGCAAGGAGAAGATCTAGAACAGAGCTCAGCTAAGCTACAGACCTCCAAAGCAGAAGCAAGCCTGGCCCATCTTAATGTTACTGGGGGCCTTCCAGGAGAGAATCCCAAGAGACAGAAAATCCCCAAAGGGAAGTCTCCTTTTTAGTTAAAAAAAATAAAACAATGACTGGCCAGTGATTGACCATTGTGGGGTAGGAAGGAGTTGGTGTCCCCTAGTGGCGGAAACTTGACATAGCATGATGACCAACTCAAGGTCCTTCCTCAACTCGTTGAGTCTATGCTCCACCATCCTCTCAAGCAAAGATGACCCCTCCAGTCTCGAGCCTCGCTCCCAACTGGAGCCCATTCTGACTTCTCGCTTGATTCACAAAGGAAGTGGTGACAGGAAGTCCTCAAGCACGGTGGAGTTCTTCAGCTTGGTGACCCGGAGTTCCAACATCCCTGCGGGCAAGAGCGTCCCTGAGTTCATGGAGAAACCTCAGCGGATCACCGCCAGAGGGTGTTTCGCAACCCGAGTCTCCCTCGGCCCCCCGGTGCCTCTCTTCCCCAGTCCCTACCCCAATGTCGCCCATACATAGACACTGGCAGAGCCAAGCCAAGGGCCCCAGCCCCTGCGAAGCAGGGAGCAGACAGAGCGTCCAGCCTGCAGGCTAAAGGGTGAAAATGTGTCCTGTGCCCACCGCAGGGGATAAAGCTGTGTTCAGAGCCCGGGTGCAGGATAACCACAAACCCACCCTCTCCTGGCAGAGGGAGCCCGGCAAGATATTCTACACCACCATTAACTAGGAGCGCATGCTGAAGGGGCGGTCAGATCCCGAGATCCAGTAACCGAGACCGCGCGAGGCCGGGACCGGGGCAGACTGCCAGCACACTCACAACAAGAGAGCCACACTGCGACCTGAAACGGGGCGGGGCGGTGGTCATTGTCCCAGAAGCACGGCAGGATAGGAGAGGCCAACAGGGAACCAAAATTGGAGGGGGGCGGTGGCAAGGCAACTTGCTGGGGCCAATTCAGGAGAAAGCAGAGACTGGGCCAAATGAAAGGGTAGGGATGAGCCCAGAAGGCAACAGCCAAAGGGGACCACAAGACCAAAGCAGGGCGCCTGTCTAGGATAGGACCATACTAGGTAGAGAGAGGCTGAACTGGGATTTCACTGGGATTAAAGGAAGGACTGGTCATAGAGTAGAAGTGAGGGTCAGGGGTCCTAGGCCCTACAGAAGAGTCTTCTTATCAAGGGCCCATCATGCTTAGGTTTAACCAGCTTCTGGGTTACCTCTTGAGGGCTAGTGCCCAACTGTAATCTCTTGCTTCAGCCCTTTTTGAGAAAAGGGAGGGATGGGTTTCTGGGAGAGCTAGGCCTATAATTACTCCATCCCTATAATTACTCAGGTCCTGCCCCTACTTCCCATTGCTAAAGACAAAGGTTTCCCCTCTCCCCCACAGACAGAAGTTGTTCCTTCCCCCATGGCCCCATCCCTGGACCCTCAGACTACACAGAAGCTACCCCAGAGTCCCCCTACTTGTCACCCCTTACAAGAGCACTCATTTAGCAAGCATTTTCTGAGAAGGCTGGCTTCCCAGAGCCCACCAAGCTTGAAGTTCCATGCAGAGTCATTTACCCCTATTTCCGCTGTTGCTCAACCTGGTGCCTGGTACAAAGGAATAAATTGGGTTAAATGAAAAAATATTCATCCCAGTGCCAGAGACTGCAGATAAGAATTACAATTCAGAAAGTCCCTGCCCTCTAGGAGCCCGTAGCCAAAGTGGGGTCAGAGAAGTCAGGGAAGCAGACAATGTTATTGCCATGGAATCAGTCTATAAACCTGCATACTCACGCTGGTTACTACCTAGTACCTCCTAATCAGAGATGCTGCCTGGTCCTCCACACATACACCCAGCACTCAGCCTCATGCCACCCCCAAAAAAATCTCTCTTTCCCCATCTCACAGAAAAGTCTATGTGGTTCCCCCTCCGTCCCCCACTAATGTCATAACTCTAATTCAGCTGGAACCACTGACCTCAGATGACTGACATTGCAAGCAATAACCATGCAGGTACAATCTAAACCATATCCTTGCTGGTGACAGAGAATGAGCAAGCCCCCTCCTCCTGGCCATCTCTCTTAGGAAACAGACTCCCTCTGTCTGACTGTGTCCCTCTCTATCCTCAGATCAAGAAAAAATAGATTTCAAGAAGATGTTGAAGAAGAGATAAGAATAGGAGGCTCCCTGCCCAGGGTGCTGTCTCCCCACCCAGGATGGAGCCTTTCAAATGCTTTTCTACAGGGCCCTGAATTCTAAGAGTCCATGGAGTGAGGAGAGGTATCTTAAGGTTGAAAGAGGCTCACTCTATTTTTGGGGAGGCACTGAGCACAGGTTGGTCCCTCCTCTCAGGGCTCCCTCTATCCCCAAGAAGCAGAAGGTGACAGATGAGAAAGAAATGCTAGAGATTTTGTCCAAGGTGCCCAAGAAGGACTTTGAAAAGGTCTGTGTGGAGTATGGTTTCACCAACTTCCAGGGAATGATCAAGAAGCTCGAAGGCATCCAGCCACTGATGGCTCACACCTATAATCCTAGCTACTCAGGAGGCAGAGATCAGGGGGATCATGGTTCAAAGCCAGCCAGGGCAAATAGGTCCACAAGACCCTATCTCAAAAAAACCCATCACGAAAAAAGGGCTGGTGGACTGGCTCAAGGTGTAGGCCCTGAGTTCAAACTCAAGTACCGCAAAAAGTAAATAAATAAATAAAAGAAGCTCAACGGCTTGAAGAAAAAAGTGGCAGTGGAAGTCAGCGCCCAGAAGGGGGCAGTGGCCTGCAGACACCAAAAGTGCTAATATGAGTCCTCTGCTTTGCACACACATTCGGAGGCATACCACCCATTGCAAGAGCAGGAGGGAAGCTCTAGTCACCTTCCTTCTATGTCTCCTCCCTTCCCCTCTCCCTAATGTACTTGCATGGACTGTGGAGTCAAAAACACTTGGGCTCAAATCCCAGTTCCACTGTCTTACTAGCTGTGTGAGGTTGGACATCTCTATGAGTATCAGTTTCCTCACCTGAAAAATGAAAATTATACTTCCTCTTTCATTTGTTTTTCTGTAGTCATTCATTCATTGACTCAGCCACCTCATATTAAGTATCAACACCGAAATTATAGTATCTGTGTAATGAGTCTCAATACATAATCACTGTTTTATGAATAGTGGTTCTTTTCTTATTCCTTTTCTCCTAAGTCTTCCAGTTGATCAATGGACTTGGGGACAGGGTGGGGGTGTGTCATTTAACAAACCTAGTCATTTCTCCCATCCCTTAGGGGTGTTGTCCAGGATTGTGGACACAGTCTAGGCAGGTCCCAGATGCCTCTGACACGTGACATTTTGTTAAAACAATAACATCATCTGGATTATGAAGGCCCTGGAAGACAGAGACCAAGATTGACACCATAGTAGTTTTTGACTGCATCATGGAGCTGAAAAATCTCAATATCAAGATGATATGGATCAAGGTGGGGGAATACGAAGGTAGGCCCTGCCCTGGAAATACCATGTCTTCTCTGCACCATCTCCCTTCTCAGACTCTCTCATTATCCATAGTCATGACTTCTCTTCCATCCCTCTTGGAATAGTTGAAAGAGGCTGAGAACTGGGCTTTATTTTAGCTATTCCACTACTTTGCTTTTGAACTGAAACAGTCCTTTCCTCTTTCTATACCTCAGTCTACTCACTTTTTAAACTGAAAGACTAGTTTAAATAGTCCTGAAGATCACTGAAGACTTGTGCCTCTAGGAGAAAACTTGTAATGAATTCATATACATAAAGAGTTTGGGCCTCGAGGGGTGACAGGGATCCTGTATCCCATGAAGATGGATGATGAGGCTAGAGAGATTACAGGGGCTTCTGGGGATATTTTGAGAGATGGACATGCATCCTCCAGCTCAGGCTGGCTTTGTGGAATGTGGAGATCCAGAAATCTCTTGTTAAACCCCTTGATCAGCTTTTCTACCTGTTCCATAAGACAGGATACTGGGCCACTGAGGACCCAGTACTCTATGGGCAAGTATGATGTGGAACAGATAGGCACCAAAAGCATGCTGGTTATTACCAATGGAAACATGAGTGATGCCGACATCTACAGCCTTATGGTGGGTGATAATCAGATGAGTGAGCAGCTCACAGTGCTGGGTATGAATGTTGGCAGTGTTCCCTACATTGTATACTGATATGCCCCTCTCCTGGCTCCAAGACTCCACCGAACCATAACCAACCTGTATCCACCCACTCTGACCAACCATATCTCCCCAAATTCTGACCATGTCAGATCTCCCATACCTTAGCAATGATCATCCTCCATCTCCCATTTTCTATCCCAATTTCCCTGACTTTATCTCTTATTTCCAGACTCTGCAACTCTGATCATCCCAAACTTCTGGATCCTGACTACCCCCTACTCTCCAACTAGTTACAACCATTCCCCACTGACCCTGACTACCCTCGGCCTCAGTAACTCTTAGTATCCCACACAGGCATAACTGCAACTAAACATTCCAACTCTACCAACCACCTGCATCTCCACCATCTATTTCCCTCTTCATCAGAGCATGCTAAGTCCCAGCTGACCATCCTCCACTAATCAGCTCCCCATTAACTATCGCAGTATTCCTGACTGCCATGTCCCGAGCCACTGGTTTTTCCCCAATACCAGCCTCCACCTACTTGCTCCAGTCCCCCCGAATGACCATCTGGAAATCACCTACTGACCATTGCCAAATTATCTGCTTATCGTAAATAATTTTTATTAACACAATACCCTTGACTGCTCCCATGACCATGACACCAACCATTCCACCTCAACATCCACCCAATCCCAGCCCTTCTTTCTCCCCAGAATATCTGGCCACTATGAAGAATGGGGTGTCTGATATGCACTTAGCTACTGGGAGTTCAGCTGAGTTATGTGTAATGCTGAACGATGAGAAGGTGGAGGGCATGTGACTAAAGGATGGCCAGGAGGTCTGAGGCAGGGGCCTGTGAAGGGGAAGAAGGAGGTCAACCTGGCCCACACTTGCATTCACACCTGCTCATCTGCCTCCAGATCACGGACTTACCTGGTGTGCAGATCGTGAAGCAGGGTGCGGTGTGTAAGCTCATCTTCCCCAATATGGGTGCAAAGCATGAGGGCAAGCACACATTCCCAGCCAAGAGCACAGGAAGCAAAGCCTCGGTGTTCATTGCAGGTACAGTCCACTCAAGGTAAACAAAGATCAACCACTCCTGGCCAGCCCACGTGCTCATAGCCCCTCCCCCTTTCCCACCAACTCCTTCTCCATCCCTGGTGAGCCAGCCTTCTCTGATGCCCTCCCCTGCAGAGCCTCCTACCACTGACCCAGCAATCCTTGAGAAACTAGTGGTGCACCCTGTGACCATATACATATGCCACAGAACCCACATCAAGGTGCCCTTCCAAGCAAGGCTGCTGCCCAAAGTGACATAGTACAGGGATGGGATAGAGGTAATGGAGGAGGAACATGTGTCCATGGAGCGCAAAGAAGATCAGGCATTGCTCACCATTTCAAACTGTGTGCATGAAAACAGCAGCCTGGTCCTGCTCAAGCTCAAGAATGACCACACTCACACCTCACACACAGCTGGGTGAGGGCAAGGCCAGGCAGGGCTATCTGAGGGCACCTGCTGCCCAGTGCTCAGTGTGGCTGGCAACTTGGGAGAAGGCCCCAGACAGAGCTGGAGTTTGAACTGGGAATGGGATTGGAATGTTGACTTGAAGCCAAAAACCCATTTCCTAATTTCTTAAGTAGCCTTAGTCAAATGAACCTCTGTAAGCCTGTTTCCCATCAGGAACAGGGTGATTTTTTTTCCAGTGATTTTCAAGTACATAACATAGTACAGAACATAATAGACCTTCCAATGCATTACTTAAGTATCATTATCAGCTGGACAATGAGGACACAGTTGGAGGTAAAGAGGAAATGAAGTGAAAAAGAGTTGGGATTTTGGAACGGAGGTGAGGCTGGTTGAAAGATCACCGAGGTAGGAATTAAAATGGAGTGAGGTGGGAGGAAGAATGTTGGGGATAAGCTGGAGTAGGGGTGGAAATGGGGCTTGGGATTGGTATGAACATTGAGGAGCTGGCTTTAGTGAATTTATAGTCAATATCTCACACACACAATCAGTACCTCCTCCACCTGTGTTTCCACCAACCTGTGGAGTGGAACGATTTGATTTTTAACTCACTTCAGCAACATGAATGAGCACATCCTCCATGGTTTCAACATTGGAGACACAGAGATGAGGTATCCCCAGCAGTCCTTCAACCCAAAGAGGATAAAACTGACAGACAAGCAATTGTGACATAAGGTAGACTGATACCAGAAAGCACTGAAGTTTTGGAAGCTGAGGTGAAGGAGAAAATATGTCTGGTAGGGGACAGGGGGCCCACCTAAAGCAGGAACTCCTAGGGGGGTACTGTTCAGCTGTTCCTAAGCAGGCAAGAGGCTCAGCAGGGAATGATCAAACTCTCTGGGCAAGTCTTAGAAGGAGAGATGATGGACACAGGAAAGAGAAAGGGATCCAAAAAGCTCAGAATTCAGCTATGCCCTATCTGGCCAGACCTCTGGTAAGTGACTGAGTGAGGTCCTTCTAATCCTTTGCCCCATTGTGAAGCTATTCTCTGTCCCCAGACTGTCCCAAGCCTCCACAGGGCCAAGTAGAGTTCCTGGAGCTCTGTGGTAATTGTGTACGCATGAAGTGGAAAGCCCCAAAGGACAATGGCAGGCATCCTGTGACACAGTTCATAGTGGAACAGAGGGCAGTTGGCAAGAAGCCCTGGATTAAGATAGAAGTGGATGGCAAAGTCACCAATTTCTCCACCAACCAGGTGGAAGAGGAGGAAGCCTACCAGTTCCATATCCTGCAGTCAATTCAGAAGGTGTGAGCGACCCACTGAAGACAAATGAAGTGTTTGTGGAAACTCCCACAGTCAGTGAGATTATCTGGTGCTCAGGGGAACAGTCAGCGGCAAGGATGGGGGCCTTTAGCCAGTAATGAATGCTGCTCTGCAGGGGATTCCACAGGCTCATTGCAGGCAGGAATTCTCAAATATTTTCCAGTCAGATCACATGCACAACACACCCCCATGGGCATACCTACATATGCACAATTCCAGGGAACTAATTCCACTTCTTTCTCCATTCCAGAAATCATCCTAGAATCCAAGGGAGCATGATGTTACTTTAGAGATAACCTTGCAACCGCTCTCATTTTTTCCATAGAAAACCTTTGATAATATTTACATTTGAATTATGATTGCTAATTACTTATTACACCCTCCCAGTGGATTTCCATGTCTCAGTGTGTCAACACAAAAGATTGAGCATTGAGAGTCACAGGGTTGGAAGGTTTAAGTCAGTGATCCTCAATTTTGGCTACACATTAGAATCACATAGGGTCTTTAATAAATGCTAATGTCTGCCCTCTACCCCAGGCCAACTGAATTAAGATATTTGGAAACAGATACTAATTGTTGATGGTAGGTTTCCTCTTACTACCACTTGAGTGCAATCACTGGTTTAAGGGGATTTTTTAGGCAGGGGAAAAGGTCAACATGGGAAAGGGAACTGTCTACATATTTCCATCCTAACTTTTGCCCTCTCTATGTCTTCCCCACCCCACCCCACCCCAGAACCCCTTGGTCTTGTCTCCCAGCCTCAAGTGACTCTCATGACTGAAGAAACTGTGACCATTCCCCAGGTGCCAGTGACTCACACCTCTAATCATAGCTACTCAGGAGGCAGAGATCAGGAAGATCGCAGTTCAAAGGCAGCTGGGCAAACACTCTGTGAAGACCCCATCTCGAAAAATCCTATCACAAAAAAGGGCTGGTGGAGTGGCTGGAGGGGGCCTACACCTGGACCTGAGTTCAAAACTCAGTACTGCAAAAAAAGAAAAACGAAAGAAACTGTGACCATTACATGAAATGCTCCTACCCAAGATGGGGGAGCTCCAGTGCTTGGCTACATTGTGAAGAATGAAAGGCAGTAACTTGAGGGTACCAATCAACAAGGACCCCATCCAAGGTAAGGTCCTATGGGCAGAAGCCCAGGAGGGATCAAAGGAATTCTTGCTGAGTGGCCCCTTTGCTACTTCTGAACATTCTCCCTCCTCCAACTTTTTTTTTGATGGGACTAGGATTTAAACTCAGGGTTTCATGCTTGCAAAGCAGATGCTCTACCACTTGATCCTCACCTCCAGTCCACTTTGCTCTGGTTATATTAGCGATCCAGTCCCAGGAACTATTTTCCTGGATTGGCCTCAAACTGCAATCCTTCCAATCTCAGACTCCCAAATAGCTAGGATTACAGGCATGAGCCACCAGCACCTGGCCTCCCTCAACTCTTTGGGATTTTAACAACATCCCCTGACTCTTCCATGATCTCTCACCCCTCATCTTCCCATATCAGGCACCAAGTGTGCTGTGATGGTCTCCTGGAGGACACAGAATACAAATTCCAAGTTATAGCTGTGAATAAGGCAGGCCCTGGACATCCCAGTATGCCAACCAGTTCAGCGGTGGCCAAGGATCCTACTAGTGAGTACAGGGCTGCCAGGCCCCAACACAATATTAGCCCATTAGAAGTGAAGAGAATTTCTTCCTTGGGAAAGTCTGACAGAAAGGAAAGTCTCCACCCTCTGGAAACTGCCAGCCTCATTGAGGGACAGGATTCATACACAAGAAAAAGCCTACAAATAAAGATTAAGCATCAGGGAGAGCAAGGAGGCAGGGAGGGAAAAAAATGTTATCAATCTTCGAGTATTTGTGGTTAGGCAAGTAGTAGAGGCATGTTGAAGACTGAGTGGGGATGTTGGGTAGATGGTTGGGAAAGTCTTGAGTTTAGGAGATAAGGTGGACCCACTGCCTATAAAGAGATGTGGTGGAGATGGTTAAGTTAGATAAGGTTTGAATGTACAGGGTATCTTGAATTTGAAGGGTATTGACTTTAAGGATGAAATGGTTGAGTTAGTAAAATAATTAAATTTGGAGGTTAAGTATGTGAGGTTGGATATTGAAGGTATTAGCTGTAGGAGTTGGAGGTAATAGTGAAAGGATTCAAGAGTGTTGAGTGTGCAAAGTGGGACACAGAATTGAGTGGGATAAGTTTCAACACTGACTGGATGTCTGTTTCTCCCAGAACCCCCAGGCCTATTGCACAGCCTGCATGTGTCTGATTCCTCTAACTCCAGCATCTCCCTGGACCAGCAGGAGCCTGCAGAGGGAGATCCACTCTCTGAATATATTGAGATGCAGGCTGAAGACAGCAGGGAGTGGTTCAAGTGTACCAAGATCCCATCTCAGGCACCTGCCACACAGTGAGGGTAGGGGGGTCACCAAGCAGCAGAAATATTTCTTCTGTATCCAGGCTGGGAATAAGGCTGGGGTCAGGGAGCCTATGGAGTTAAAGGAGTCATGCCACCACCAGGTGAGATTACAGAGCAGGCTGGGAGATTCGGGCCCAACATCTTAGATCCAAACGTTTCTTCTGGGGCCTCATCCCACAGGAGAAAATTGTGTGAAGCTATGAACAAGAAAAAGTTATTCATACTTGTGCTGGACAGCTAGGTATAACACCCAGGAACTTCCTTGATGGGAAACAAAAACCTGCTGTGTTCCAAGGGAGGTATTGGGGATATAGAACCAAACAAGAACAAGACAAAGGACCTGCCTTCCAGGATCTTACATACCAGGAGAAAGAGATAGATGAGAAAACAACTGCTTCAGAGTGTAGCATGCAGCTAGATAAGATGTCTGTAGTGGGTCCATTAAAGAGGAGCAGTTGAGAAAGGCTTTAGAGGAGAGGCTTAAAACTAAGTCTGCTTGAAAGAGAGGTCCATTCCCTTACCTGTATGTCTTCCATCTCAGCTGCTGCCAAATTTGACCTCAGTGCCTAGTTAGAGTCACATGTTGGTGCATGCTGAGACAGCGCTCTGTATCCATGCAGACTTCTCAGTGAGTTCAACCTTAGCCCTTCTATGCTGTCTGCATAACCAAGATGACTGTTGTCTACCTCGGACTCTGCCGCTGGCCAGATACCTGGCACTAGAGCCTAGCAGGAGACTCCTTGACAATGAGGGAGGGCTTTCCCCCAAATACCATCTAGTGACAGATGGTGCCATCTCCTGTTACCACCCAATGTGACCTGGCATCACCACCAAAGGCCAAGAAACTATCACCAAGGGCAAAAACTACACCCAGTTCCTCATCAATAGCACCAAGTGCCCTGACTCAGGATTGTACTGAATATTGCTCCAGAATGAGTTTGGAGAGGCACACTATGATATTTATGTGCATGTGTCAGGTACAGACAGCAGGAAGAGGAATCCAGAGGTTTTCTTCCAAAATGTAGCTCCCCGCTGCTGCTTAATAACTTAAGCACACTTTCCAATAGATGTGCCTTAGGTGAATGAAGCCTTCTTTGACACCACAAAACAAGGCTTTATCAGCCTTTGCTTGGGATGGGAGGGGAGGGATTGTTTCCCTCTCTTTCTCAAAGGCCTGAGCCCTGAAGGCATTAAACTATAGAACCCAGCCCTTGTTTCAGTTTCTGAGGCCTTATCTGGTGAACTTTGGGAAATAAACAGAGTACAATCCCAGGGAAAGTAGAGAATGGGGTGAGAGGCAGGAGGGAGAGAGATAAATCCATTAAAAATTGGAGTGACCTCTTAGAGAGCACTGGAGGCTTTATTACAAAGCCCTAAACCCCCAGGGGAAAAAAGGAACTTTTATTGACTAGTAACTACATACTGGCCATTTTATTCATTATTCCTATGAAACAGTCATTGTTAGTCCTCAATTTATGAATGAGAAAATGGGTCTCATGTGACTTGCCCAAGGTCACAGGGCTTCTAAATGGCAAAGTGACACTTTAGAAACAGGCTCTCTAACTCCAGGATATCTGCTGCCTGAGACTCAAAGAAGGGAAGTGCCCTAATTCCAATCTTCTTTATTTTTTTCTTGGCCACAATAGGGTTTGAACTCAGGGACTGGTGTTCTTACTGCCTGAGCCACTCTGCCAGTCCTTTTGGGGGATGGGATTTTTCAAGATAGGGTCTCTCAAACTATTTTTAGACTGGTTTCAAACTGACATCCTCCTGATCTCTGCCTCCTGAGTAGCTAGGATTACAGACATGAATTGGGCTTAGCAGGTGGCTATGGTGAGCACACAATACGTCAGGCCCCAGGGTGACTGACAGATCTTCCAACTGTTCCAGATTTCCCCCATCCCCCTACAAACCTGCAGCTGTTTGAAGAGGTCCCCAACACAGTGGCTCTGACCTGAAATGAAACACAGCTCAGATGTGCAGGAGGATAGTGATGCCCACTATGTCATCTTAAAGGGGGAATCAAGCAGCCCCACCTTCACAGCAGCCAAGCGTGTCTTCAGCAACAAGTACACGGTGACAGGGATGCTCCCTGACTGGAAATACTTCACAGAGTGGTGACTGGCAATGAAATCAGTGACAATGACCCACTGGATTCCAAGGATACCTGGCTCATCAATAAGGACCAGGGGACTTAATACTTTGGGTTATGCCTGGAAGCCCTGATAGTGGAGATGACATAAGGGTCACAAAAAGGTACTTAAAAGTTGAGATAAACTCAAAGCACCACTGAAATAGTTAACATCCAGGATGCTGGGGATATAGATGTTGAAGAAACCTTAGAAGAGACTACATTTTAGGGTGCTTTGAGGGGTGAGACTGACATGGAGGTGGGGAGGTGCCCTTAAGGGCCAAGATGATATAGAGGGACAGGAAGGGATGGAAGGAGTATTACAGAATAGACTTCCATCTCCTTTGAAGGAAGAAACTAACAGCTGGGAAGGGACTCTGCCCTGGGAGCCAGAATGAAGCCTGGGAACTCTGGAGGGCAGGGGTTAAGGGTAGAAATGGCATAAGAAAACTGAAAATGAGGAGCTAAATGAAGACCCTAGAAACTCAACTGGCATAGGGAAGTCTGGAGGGAGAGTTAAAGGCCAGGATAAATAGCTACAAACACCAAGGTCTGAGAAGTTAACTCTGGAAAGATTCCTAGGCCCTAGGCTCTAGGAAAGTATAAAAACCTGTGAACTTGGCTCACGCTGTGAAACCCTGGAGTGGCTAGCAGGGTTAAGAGGAAGAGGGGTTTCAGAAAAGTCCCTATGTACCAATATAATGTTGGAGCCCCCAGAGTTGCTGGTGACTGATAATCTGGCCCAGGTCTTGTGTATTAAGCTGAATCTCCTGGGTGCCTTTCAAACTCTAAGACATGGGTGGCATGAGGGGACCATGGGGCTCTCTCATAGCCTGCTCCATCCTACCCAGGCAGTTGAGGACCTGAGCATTAAGCTGAAGTCCTACTAGCAGAAGAACTGGTATCATGCACACTTCCTGACTCCACTCAAGCCACACACAGTGCTCTGTGGCCAGGACTGCACCATGACCTGCACCTTCCTCAGGAACCCACAGCCCACGTGACGCTCTATAGGGTTGACATCAACATCACAGCCAACATCAAGTTCTAGTCCAACTCTACCAGTGGCGTGTGAACCCTCCTCATCCCCACCTGCACCCTAAAGGTCAATCTCAAGTTCAGCATGTTGGTGGAGAATGAGCTGGGCAAGGACAGCAGTAGCTGCATGCTCCCAGGCTATGGTGAGGGTTCTGCCAAGGCTGGCCTGGGGGAGGTACACATCCTGTCCAGGAAAGGGACACAAAACGGCGGTCATGTGGGCTATTAATCAGCTCTCTTTGTTTGGCTGGCACCATTTTTTATTTACTCTGCCATCAAGTGGTGCAAATATTCCTAGTTCTTATCAATGTCCCATCCTCTCAATGTCATTTGTTATGTTCCCAGACCCTGCAGATGTGAAAGAGTTTATGATCTCCTGATACGCTATGGTTTGCAACCCTAGGTGGGCCTAGATCTACCTTTAAAAAAGATACTGGTCATCAGGCTTAAACCAAACATGCCAATCAAAATCTCTCTGGCAGGGTTCTAGAAGAAATTTGTACATTTACAAAATTTGGGGTACTCAAGTAGTAGAGCAACTGCCTAGCAAGCATGAGTCCCTCAGTTCAGACCCCAGTGCTGCCAAAATTTTGCAGGTGACTCTGATGTACAACTAAGATTGAAAACTACTGGTCTAGGATAAAAACAGATGGGAGGCAAATGCAGGGGACCCTTCTTGCATATGCATGCCTTGTTTGTGTTCGTGTATGTGCGCGTAGAGGAAGATATTTCATTCCTTTCCACAGTCTACTGTCTTCATAGCTGCACAGGTAGAAGTGTGAACCCTTTAAATGCAAAGCCAACCTGCCGTCCTCCATCTTATTTAAATTCCTTCACTTTCCCCTGACCCTCATGATAAAATCCCTGTTTCTCTACCCCTCCAGCTTCATCCTGTCACCCCTCAACTCTCTCTGGTGGTGTTGCTTCATTGTTATGGTCTCCATGGTTACAGACCTTTTTATATCCAATTACAGATGCCTTTCCTTGGAGACAGGACCACGTCCTATTACCCTGTCTCTCAAGTGCTCAACTAAGTGTCTGGCACTGAGATGATGCCTCCCAAGTGGCTGCCAAACTGTGTAACAGATCTAGGCCAGGAAGGCACCAAGGGAACTCTCAAGCTTTCACTCCACAGCCAGAGAGATCCCTGACAATTTGTCCCTAGTTGTAAGCATATGGACCCAGAGCCCTGACATTATCAGTGACCATCCATGTAACTATGGCAAACTACCTTTCTGTGCCTGTTTTCTCACCTATTGGGACTGTGAAGCACACATGAACTCATACATGGAAGTGCCTGGCACAATGCCTGGTAAATCAATATTGAATAAATGGTAGCTTTTGACCCCCACACACAACCAACCCAGGATTAAGGGTCTCAGGGGTCAGTCCCTGGTTCCTCTGTAATAATTTTAAGTCCAGCAGTTTGATGTTTTTCTGGCTCCAGCCTCATTAACACTAATGAATATCTGCTTTGGTCTTTCAGACAAAGATGACAAGTCAATCCTAGTATCAATCACTGGGAATCTACAGAAGAAATCACCTTATGTGAGCTCTAGACCAGCCCTGGCATCAGGAGGGTGTTGTGATGTGGGGCTTCTTGGCCTATTCTCTGCATGGGCCCCAAGGTAGGAAGCCCAGTCTGCCCTCTGATTGTGTCATTGTAAACATTCTGTCAAAGGATAAAACAATAAAATTCACTGAGCTCACCCAACTGTTCCTGAAAGTAGAGTAGAACAGTGACCATGGGGATAACAGGTATAGGAATCTCCAAACCTACCCACAAGGGAGTAACCCTGTGACTTGCCTTTCCCTCCTCCACAGCCACACTGTACCCTCCCCACAACCCCTCAGAGCACGGAGGCAAGTCTTGATGATTTCAACCTTCTCCACATCCTGCTCCCTCCATTTCTTCACACCAGATAGGTCTATGTTCAGCATTCTGAGGTTTGAAAGGATCAGGACTTTGCCCCTTCAGTGTTCTGGGATTCTACTATCAGAGATAGAGGGACTGGACATCCAGCTTAATGGTTTCAAGTATGTTTTGCAATGGAATCCTTCCTTAAAAGAAAATTCTAGCCCGGGCATCAGTGACTCATGCCTGTAATCCTAGCAGAAATTAGGAGGATCATGGTTTGGAACCAGCCTGGGCAAATAGTATGCAAGACCCCATCTTGAAAATACCCAACACATGCGGAGGGGGCGGAGTGGGTGGTAAGGGAGGGGGTGGGGCAGGGGGGAGAAATGAACCAAGCCTTGTATGCACATATGAATAATAAAAGAAAAAAAATTTGTATAATGCAAGAGATCAAAAAAAAAAAAAAAAGAAAATACCCAACACAAAAAAGGGCTGGCAGAGTAACTCAAGTGATAGAGTGCCTGCCTAGAAAGCATGAAACCCTGAGTTCAAACACCAGTACCACCAAAAAATATGTTTTAAACTACTGGACTTGAAATAAGGATAGAGGATCTTTGAGCCTTCCTCTTCTTATTCCTTTGCTACCCCCCACCATGAGGGATCTCTGTAAAACCCTGGTTTGGGGCTAGGAATATAACTCAATGGTACAACACATTCTTAGCATGTGCAAGGTCTTAGGTTGATCCCACGTGCACACTTTTCAAAATTTTTTTGAAAAGTCATTGACTCACTCAACATACATGAGACTTGAATTTCCTACATAGAATTCCCAAAAAGTGTACAGCAACTCTACAAATGGCATATTCACCACTATCTGAGACTTCTCTTTCAACTTCAGGTTAGATCCTTGTCTGTTAAAATGCAAATGTTCCTGGAGTAGAGTGGCCAGGGATTACTCTGCCAGGGATTCATGTCTAGAGTATGAATCAGTCAATCTAATCCCACTCCTCCCAGTTGCTTCAACTAAGCTCAGTGTCCAAGGTCTTAGGAGGAGATACTTAAAGGGAAGTCTGCATCATTTTGGTGTAGGCCACAGGTCTGGGAAATGGATAGTAGGAGGTAGGCAGCAGCAGAAGACTAGGGTAGCCAAGGGTCACTAAGGTTGAAGGCCACAAAACTGAAAATGTGATTCAAGTGGTAGAGCACCTGCTTTGCAAGTGCCAAGCCCTGAGTTCAAACCCCAGTTCCCCCCCACCAATAACAAAAAAAAAAAAGGTTTGCAGAGCGTCTATGCATCAAGGAAAAATAGGGACAAATGGGCAAAATACCGCCCATCCCTCATTCTCCTGGAGTACAACTTCGCACACACACTTATGTGATCAGGGAAGTGAGACCCACTAAAATCAGCAGTGTTAGTAGAGCCAGGGAACCAGCTTGACGCCAGGTTGCACTAGCCAAGACTGTGACCCAGACCATAAGGACAGCCAGGGTGTTTGGCATCATGCCCCTACCCTGTCCAGGACAGGCATATGCCACACAGGCAGACAAGTGGGAAAGCCAATGGTCCTTGGTTTTATTTTATTTTATTTTCACATAGGCAGTACAGGATGGAGTTGCCCCATCCTTGCTTCCCTTGCACTGAATGTACCTTCAGTCTTAGACCCCAGAATGTCATTGGAACCCCCTCAGGGAGGAAAGCATTGTTGGTGTGTTGAGGGGAGAGGTCCCAGCTCTCTAAGCCAGACTCAGGCAGTTCTCTGAGACCCTCTCCCTCTGAGTCTTTTACAGATAGCAGGACAAAGACATATGGTAGAAAAAGACATAGGCAGGCTAGGAGACAGACTATACACACATACAAACACACACATACGCATACATACATACACACACACACACACACACACACACACACACAGGCTGGCCCCTTTCTTTGGCATTGTTCACCCTAGCTCTAGGGACAAAGTCTGAGGGTGGTGGTGTGGGGGCCTGAGCTCTGAGCTAGCCAGTAAGAGAGATAAGGCCAATTTTAATCCTTGCTACCCCCAAATTCCCAGACCAAGAAGTTCCCTCTAATGTTTACCCTAGACAGATACCCCTTCATCTTCCCACTCACCACTTAAAGACTGAGACTGTTCAAGTAACAAGGTCAGACAAGGTAAAAGAAGTCTCTACCCTCATCCAATCTTCCCAACTAGGAGCCTGTGAAAGGGGCTTCAAGTCCTGGCCCTTCCTTGGTCATCTCAACAGATTTTTTTCCCCTTTTCCTCAACTCTGTGCAGAACATAAAGGGTGGGAGTAGAGGAACCCAGAATTGCCAGTGGTCCTAGGCACAGAGATACAGTGACTCTTCCACCCAGTAGAGAAACAGAGGGGAGGAGTCAAGAAGCTGAGCACCATCACTCTCCAGGGGACTTTGACAGTCCTGATGGGATAGAAGTGGGGAAATCTCTACTTCTGGCTCCAGCAAGGGGCATGAGGCTGCCTCTTTGAACTCTTGGTATTGTCCTGGACCACAAGCTTTGCTAGGGAATCCTTCTCCTGCATACCCCCTCCTCAAACTTGTCAGTTCCCCAAGAGGTACCTGCTATCCCAGGCTGGCACTGCAGCCATCCTGATTCAATTCCTGCAGGTTCCTAGGGTCTGGACCCCAGCCCCAGGAGAGAGAGGCAAGCAAACCCTTGCCCCTCAGTTGGCCTTGTTCAGTCTATAGTCTTCCACTGGCTCACGACTCTCGACAGCTGACAGGGCGATGAGCATCTGAGCAGCATAGTAGGTGGACATGATGAGTGCCCGAGAGTAGGGCACAGGAAAGCAGAACTTGTTGAGAGCGATGGTCAGGTCTGAGATGATAAAAAGCAGTGCACCACAGCTAGCCGCCAGCTCAGTCCAGCGCCAGGCTGCCCCAACCAGCTGCAGCCCTGCCACAGCTCGCCAGCCCATGAAACTGATGAGGGCCACATAGACCCCCACCAGGTAGGTGAAGGCACCTGAGAGGCCTGGATAAAGGAGGGCATAGCACAGGCCTGAGAGCACTCCCATCACCAGACCTGTCCGGAGAGCCAGTGGCCGCATGCCAAAGGCTGAGGCGTAGAGCATGTGTGTGACAGCAAACATCAGCAGACCTGGGAGTGAGAGGGTTATGATAAGGGATGCTGAAGGTACACTGGTGACTAATGACTACTGGGAGCAAGGGAGGAGTTGGGGACAACATAGCTGCTTTGTTTTGGAGTAACAGGGGTGGGAACATCCATAAAGGTAAAGCTCACCCCCACATGCGAACTCCCTGGAAGAACTCTGTGACTGATCACTAGATCACCTGTAAGGTCATACTTCAAACGAGGACCCCATAGTCCCTGGCCTCAGAAACATTCCAAATCCCTGTTCAATACTTCCCTCTTCCAAATCCCTGCCCCCTCCCATGACCCTCTCTTCCCTAGCCCCAGGACCCCTCCTCCCAGTTATTATGATCACTGTATTACTGACCGTGCACAAAGTAGCCCTGGTCCTGCCAGATGAGGAAGGCATCACCTACAGCAGAGAAGACGAGCCCCACAAAGATGAGAGTGGCACTGGGGTGGGCCAGCAGGAATCCAAGGCCATGGGCCAGAAGGAAGAGCCAGAGGCAGAAGATAGGCAGGCACTTGATAAGGGCGCTGACCCATGATGGGCTGGATGACGGCAACCAGAGCACAAAATACACGCACGTAGCCTTGAAGAAGGGTACCAATTTGGGTCCCTCACTCTTCACCTAGAAGACACAAGAGAGAGAGGGCTTGGAAGCTCAGAAGTCCATATGAGGGCTCGTGCACAGCACCCTCCCCTGAGCCCATAACCCCAAACCACCCCTACACCACCCTAACTGGGAGAACTGACCCAGAGAAACCCAACCTGTCCTCCCCCAACCAGCCAGCCGGGTGTGAATAAATCTGTCATCCATCATCCAGTGGCTCAATTTATTAGGAGGGGAAAGGGCTCCATTGTTCTTGCTAGTCTTCTCCACTCTTGGCCCTTGGGCTGAGCCAGAATGGTTACCCACTATATACTCCTTAGGATTTTGTCCCCTTCAGCAGCCCAATGCTTTTCCCTTTCTGCCTCCTTCTTTTTCCTCCCTAGGGCCCTTTTAGCCCCTTTGTCTGCCAGCATCAGCTCCCACCTGTTTGGATGAGGAGTGAAGTCAGTGGGAAACCACATAGACATCCTGACTGGCCAACATATGAACCTCAGCAATGGGCCAGGACACAGGCTTAGGGCCCTGGCAACACCAGGTGGGTGCCAGGAACGTAAGAGTGACACGACCTCCATCCCCACAGACTCTCTCCTCCTAGGCCAGTCTGCTACTCAGCCTCTACTCCACCAGCCTTCGACTAAAGGTGGCATCAAGGACAAGGAGAGGTACTAAGCATGCTGGTAGAGCTACAGACCTGAGTTGGAAGCAAGAAAACTGTCCCTGAAACACTTTTCAGGGACTGAGGGAAGGGGTGTGTGTCAGTCAGTCTCAGTTCCCAGAGAACAAGAGCAACTTGAGGCACACCAGAAAGAGGCAGGAAGGGGGGTGGGGAGGGCTTCTTGTCCCAGCTTCTGATCTGCAGCCAGCAGACAGGCTGGGAGGAGATGGGGAACTGAGAGGGGGAAGTCAGAGCAGCTGACTTGGTCTCAGCCGGATTAGGGGGGAGGGTGGCTAAAGAAAGGTTGTACTCAAGGCCACTGTATGCACAGTCCAAGCAGGGGGAGGGGACTGATGCAGATGTTCTGTGTCTGTGATCCCCTAAAGCTCCTTTCCTTGGCCGGCTAGTTCTGAGTTTCTGAGGGCTATGTGAAGCAGTTGGGGTTTCCTGTAAACCCACACTTTGCCAAAGTGCTGGTGTCTCTGGCTGGGCAAGCTGTCCAGCACAGGTCTCTGCAGGCACACTCAGACTTCCAGACCATCATATACCAAGGGGGGGGGTGCGGTTAGGAAGAAGCAGATGGGTGGGTCCAGGGTTCTTGTTCTGCCAGAGGTGACAGCAAGAGGCAGAGACAACGGTCCCTTCCCATGGAAACGCCCCTATTAAGGCTGGTCATGGTGAGGGCATGGTCAGAAAAGAAGAGAGGGGGATGTCCAGCTCCACAACATCCTCCTGCCAGCCCTCAGAAGCATCACGTCCTCCCAGCCCTTTATTTTCTAGGAGAAACTGGTAGTAGGTGGGAAAACTATGACAGTCATAGAGAATCCAGCACTTGAAAAAGGGTGGGGAGACAAGACTTTAAAGGTTGTAGTTGAGAAAGTCTGAAAAGGACGAAATGTCAATAGAGAATGATCCATCCTCCCCCTAGACTCAGGGGAGTCCCCTCCTGAATCCCCGACTTGTTAATAAGATGAAGAAGAGGAGGAAACCAACTTGGGAAGGGATTCTTAAGAGGTCCCTGTCACCTTTCCGGCCCCCCGCCCTCTCCCACGCCTCCACAGGACCCCCCGACCGCTACAGTCACTCCCCCAGGCCACGACCCTGCGGACCCGAGCCAGACACACACAGATCAACACTGTCACGCTTCCGAGTCACGTGCCCTATGTTTTCTTCCCTCTCGCAGGCGGACCGGGGACGCGCGGAGGCGGGGCGGTGAGGGTCTGGGGAGCGGGGACCGTGACAACTACCGGCCCCCGCCGGGGGACACTGGCCACCACGGGACTAGTGTCTGTCCTCGGCCCCCAGCAGCCTGGCCTGCTGCAGTCAGTCGCCAGGCCGGTGGGCTCCGGCCGCAGGCTCGCTCACTCACCACAGTAACCGGGGACACCATGGCGGCAGCGGCGGAGGAGGCGGCGGTCAGCAGCCGCTCCGCACTGCAGCTGCCAGAACGCACCGGCCGCCAGGTGAGCAGACGACGACGTAACAAAGCCGAGGCGAAGTACAAAACCTCCAGCGCGCCGAGCGCTCGGAGTTCTGTCTGTGAACCCCGTGACGTCACCACACACTCCGCCAATGAGCGGGCCGGAGCTTGGGGTGGGCGGGGCCCGACAGGAGGCGCCGGCCCGACTCCCTGGGTTTCTGCCCTGAGAAATGAGGTTTTCCCTAGGGCGGGAGGTGGGGCCCCGAGGCCCCACCCCTCCGGAAGGCGTGCCAAGGCATCCCGGAACGTGACCGTGACCCCCAGGGCATGGCTAAGGAATGAGCTTGACTCAGAGACAAACACATCTTTGCCCTGGACACTTAAAAACATTTTATCCCAGCTCGGGAACAAAAAGCAAAGACAAATTAAGATTCCTTCAGCCTTCACCCATACAGTCTACGCAGAAACAATTGAAGTGAGACACAACTTTCACTGTGTACAAACACAAATGGACACACGATGGTCAGCATTTCACAACCTTCAACATGAGAAGAGGCATATACATAGATAGACCATAACCCTATCATATTCATAAACACGGAATCGCAATTACACTAAACAAGTGTAGACACTTGTTATACACGAAACAAGTACAAAAACACAAAATCGTCAACCACGGATTGACTCCCATCCTTCATGAGAACAAAGACACATACATAAGCAAAGAGCAGCCTGTTGTGGACCCAGTAACCCTAACATGCAAAGAACACAAGTACTCCATTGCTCTTAGGCATATTCCTCTCACAACTCAGACAACTGTTAACTGTTAAACCAGGAATGTCAGACAGACAGACTTGAGAATACCTAAGCACCCAAAGAAATGTGAACGAACTTTGCCAAAAGTACAATGTAAGCGAATATAGTGTTGATATTATGTAGACTAGAGGGACTCAAGCACATTTGGAAATGTGTGTGTTCAGAATCATGGGAATTACATGAATGGAATGGTAGGTAGTCAAATGGGCAGGACTGTAGTCCCAGTTTTGCACTTCCATGCCCTTGATTGGGTGAATGAATCACTTCCCCTTGATTTCCTTATTTATAAGATGAATGGATGATCTCTAAAGTTCTGCCCAACCCAGACGTTATGTAAGATGAGGGAGGGTTGTTAATTTCAGGAAATGTAAGTCTAGCAAGCTTCCCAGAATTGGAGATTTCAGATGCATCTCAAAGGATGGATTTATGGTCTGTGATCTTCAGTAGAAGGGTAGTCACTATGGTGTCAGGCTTTGGGAATTGGGGAGAAAGGGGTGACTGGCCCTAGTTAGCAACCATCAAGGATTCTCATCCTAGGATGTCAACACAGGGCTGGCCAGGGAAAGACGCACAGGCTGAAATCTCCTGTGAGCCTCTCCCACAATGGGTCTCTTCCTTTTTCTTCTGGGCCCTATCCAGCTTTCTCTAAGTCTGTGCTATTGGCCTGATAGCCACAGATTGATTGAGACAGCCCTCTTCTAGTGACAGAATTGACAACCAGAAATTCAGAACCTGTTATAAGAGTGACAAACAAGGCTGGAGGGGTGGATGGAGTCATCCTATTTCTCTCTTCTGCCCTCCAGGCACCTCTGAGCAGAGCTCCAGTGATCAAGGAAGTCAGCCTGCTCTGTTTCCTTTCCAGTCAAGGGCTGTGGGAAGACCACCTCACCAGAATGGGGGACTCAAATTTCTGCCCCCAAGGCTTTGTCACACATACACCACAAAATGTGTTGCCTGGAATGAACACTAGGCTGAGAAATACTGTTCTTAGCCCCTCTTTCTCCCATGATTTACTAGTGGTAAAATTGGGCATATCACTCCATCTTTGGAGCCTTGCTTTCCTCATCAATAAAATGGAGGAATCAGGCTATAAAATAGTTGTATACATTCCAGTTTTCCAGTCAACCCTACCATGTCACCTAAGGGATAGTTCTCAGAGTTGCCAAGTCAGGGCAGTTTTCGTTTCTGTAGACTCTAGTTTGCCTAAATGAGAAAGTAGACTAAATAATTGGTTCTCAACAATTGGGACTTACCAAAATTTCTTGGGAAGCTTTCTAAAAACATAAATGCCCAAGCTTGCATATACAAATACCTAAATATACAAAATATTAGATCTAGAATTGTCATCCACAGAATTTGACTTAGTACTTGGATTGCCCAATAGGCAAAGTAATCATATAACCTAGGTTGCCCACAAAGCTGAGGTGTCTCTCCTCTGTGCTGGTTATTCTCCATTTGCTCACTCATCATCCAGATCCATTCTTGGTCCTTCTCTACCCTGCCCCAGAAGCTTGAGCTCTATGGACTATAAGGGTTCACGAGGACTCTGGCTTCTAGTTGTGTTCAGCTAATGAGAATTGCAGGCCAAACTGAGGATGGGAGGAAAGCATGGAGCCCACTGGAACATGGTGAGAATCCAACAATTCTAGAGGGTATGGTCCATGGCTACCTCCATGCTCTCCCCCTCAAATTTCAGGCCTGGTAAAGCAGTGCCTCTTCTATGCCATGACTGATTTTGTTACTCTGCCCTTATGTTGTACTGCCTATTTTTACCCTGAGCTAATCTTGTTTTATCTTTTTGTTTTCTTTTTGTTGGTACTAGCATTTGAACTCAGGGCCTTGTGCTTTCTAAGCAAGCACTCTACCACTTGGGCCACATCTCCAAGCCCTTAATCTTGGTTATCTTTGAGGAAAGGATGCCTGTAGGTCAGAAGTCTCTCTTCAGGTGGGATAACCAAAATGCTTTGGTTAGATGTAAGATAGCTCCTCCATCTCCAGAAAACCTCTAACTTTTTTTTTTTCTTTCTTTGGTAGAACTGGGGCTTGAACTCAGGGCTTTCTGCTTGCAAAACAGGCACTCTACCACTTGTACCACACCTCCAGTCCACTTTGCTCTGATTGTTTTGGAGATGGGATCTAGTGAACCACTTGCTTAGGATGGCTTGAAAGGACATCTTCCCAAACTCAGCTTCCCAAGTGGAAAGGATTACAGGTGTGAACCATTGGCACCTGGCTTGGTTTTTTTTTGTTTTGTTTTTCCTTTTTGGTGATGGTGGTACTGAGTACTAAGGTTTCATACTTGTTAGGCAGGTGCTCTACCACTTGAGCCATGCTCCCAGCCCAACCTCTAACTTTTTATAATTACCTATAGCTGCATGCTAAATGGCACATACACACAGACACTTGACCATTGTCATGACTACTGAAAAGAACCATAAAAGGAGCAAAATACTGGTAGCAACTGAATTCCCAGAAAATCTCCATATTCCCAGAAAATCTCCATATTCCCAGAAAACGCATGAATATTCCTCCTCTTTAGTAGTCTACCTTTCTCTCATTTCTTATTTCCTATAACTTCTTGTCTCACTGCAGGTCAAGAAGTTAATTTGCGAGTCTGTCTTCTACTTCTCCTAGTCTTGGGCAAGAATAAAAGTCCCCTTGCTGCTCAACTGGCAGTTTATAATATGGGTTCCACAATTCCAAGAGAGAAAAAAGGACCCAGTTTAGGGTCAAAAATTAGTAACAAGTTTTTTAACCTGCCCAGACTTCTGCAGGGTCATTAAATTCTCTTCCACCAAATTCACAAGGTGCCAGTCCCCTGACTGATACAGGCACCAACAAAGCAGAGGCATTCACTACTCTTTTCCCAAAAAGAAAGAGCTTATCCTAAATTAATTCATATGAGTTGGACTTTTTTGCTTCAATTTTATTATTTACTATTCAGTGTTTTATTTTTAATTGCATATTTTAGTGGGCAGAGAGTGGGATAGGGCTGGCTAAAAATTGGCTTTCCTTCCTTTCTGTACCCAAAATGATCTGTTACCTGGTTCTTTTCACATAGCTTTGTCATACTTATTTCCTCTATAAGAAGGTGAACCTATTCATTCATTTATCCAACAAATGTTTACTGTGCACCTCATATGTGCTAGCTACTGCATTATATGTTAGTGCTAGAGTTTAAAATATTGGGTAAAATGTAGGCTCTGTCCTCATGGAACTCACAGTTCACTTCAGGAAGGCAAGTAAATGATGTCATGTGACAACTGAAATAGGTGTGAAGCCAGGTGTGATGTTTGATGCCTGTAGTCCCAGCTACTGGCAGATTGAGGTGGGAGTGACACTGGATTGTTGATCCTGAGTTCATGTCTGGGCAAAGTTGATGATTGAATAGAATACACAGGACCAGGAGTTAAGAGTAAAGCAAGCATAAGGCTTATTGAGGAGACAGCAAATTCCTGCATGGAAGGGGCTTAGGAAAAAAAGCTCAGCTGTAGTATAGCTAAAGTCTGGGAGTAATATAGGACTTTGCCTGGCTTAGGTCCAACTATTCTATCCTGAAACTATATTTGTGATCAGTTGGTACCTAGTCAACTTCCCGCTGAATCGGGACCTATCTCCATCTTTATCAAACAAAACATCCTGGAAAGGTTTGGTCAACACATCCTGGCCTTGGGGCCCACCATCCACATCCTGCAACTGCATTCGGTTATCTTGGAGGGGCTTGTTACTTCTCTGAGAAACTTGTTGAATGCCCCTTCAGATATCCGCTTCTAAAATGTCTCCCTTATCCAAACTGGAGTCACCTCTGTCTTGCTCCCCTCACAGGAGGATCACTTGAAAGATTGAAATCAGACTGGGCAACATCATGAAGTCTTATCTTAGAAATAAACAACAACAACAACAAAAAGTAGAGATATGAAGTTATGTCCCATGTGACATCAGAATCATTAATTGTACCTGTCACAAATGAGGAAGCTGGGGCTATCTAGAAGGACAAGTTAGTCTTCATTGCAAATGTATATGACTTTCTAGGCAGAGAGAATCATATATATACCTAAAGGTATGAGACACACTGAATTCAGGGAAATAACCTGTAGCACTGGGGTGAGCTGGGGAGTTGAAATGGAGAAGTATCTTGAAGCTGGGCATGGTGGCTCATCCCTGTAATCCTAGCTACTCAGGAGGCAAAGACCAGGCAAGTAGTTCTCCAGAACTTATCTAGAAAATACCCTACCCCAACACAAAAATAAAGGTCTGGCAGGGTGTCTCAAGCAACAGAAAGCCTGTCTAGCA